TGTCTAGGTGCAGGTCCTCCATCTGGTCTGGATACGGCCCTGATCCGGCTGACTACATCATGTGTTGTGGTCGTGTCTAGGCGCAGGTCCTCCATCTGATCTGGATACGGCCCGGATCCGGCTGACTACATCATGAGTTGTGGTCGTGTCTAAGTGCAGGTCCATCATCTGGTCTGGATACGGCCCGGATCCGGCTGACTACATCATGAGTTGTGGTCGTGTCTAAGTGCAGGTCCTCCATCTGGTCTGGATACGGCCCGGATCCGGCTGACTACATCATGCGTTGTGGTCGTGTCTAGGTGCAGGTCCATCATCTGGTCTGGATACGGCCCGGATCCGGCTGACTACATCATGCGTTGTGGTCGTGTCTAGGCGCAGGTCCTCCATCTGGTCTGGATACGGCCCGGATCCGGCTGACTACATCATGAGTTGTGGTCGTGTCTAGGTGCAGGTCCATCATCTGGTCTGGATACGGCCCGGATCCGGCTGACTACATCATGCGTTGTGGTCGTGTCTAGGCGCAGGTCCTCCATCTGGTCTGGATACGGCCCGGATCCGGCTGACTACATCATGAGTTGTGGTCGTGTCTAGGTGCAGTTCCTCCATCTGATCTGTGCACAGTTTGTCTTTCGACTGGTCCAAGACAAGCCAATTGTCTTTCTTTGGAACGAGGAAGTAGCGTCTGTAAAAGCCTGAATCGCTGCTGAAACTTTTTCTACTGCGCTCTGTGACACACACTTTTATGTAAACTGACATAAAACACACATTTTTGGTAACATTTGGGTGATTGGGACAGCAGATCTTATCATGGATTTGGTCTAAGCATATTTATTACACAAGTTAGTTCATTCGTTGATATAATTTCATAAGCAAGATTGAGTTTTTTTTCTGAGTGTATTTATCCATAATTTAGTACAACACGTGTAATTGAGGCAAAAGAAGTCCAAAAGTCATTGAAAAGTGTAAACAAGTAAAAAGGAAAAATCAGGTTCAAACTTCATTAATAAATTGTGTAATATGACCCAAAACCTTTTTTTTTTGGGTAACATTTAGAGGAAAAGTTGAGTGACCCCTTCCCCAATAAACAGATTGACATAGTGTATTACTGCAAAAAAATAAAAAAATAAAAAAAATCAGTAAAAATTGTTTAGCTGTGATGATGTTTCTATTTTCATTATTAGGTTGTTTTATTTGAGCCTAATCCAGCTGTGGTTAATTAGGGGTTGCACAAATGAAAAGGTTGGGAAACACCAATTTAGAGCATGCAGAGCTTATATCTCTATCGCAAGGTTAATCATTTTCTTAATTAGCTAAGCCTTTAAGCACCATCCCAATCACACAATACCATGCTGTCCCATGCACCCAAACACGTGTCCAGCAAAGGTTTGTGTAAATTAGTAGTGATGACAATTTTATGACCTTGCTAGCAAAAGTTTATGTCATTTTTCTCACTTCATGCATTTCAGGCTCAACTTCTTGTTTGATGCCCCGCCCACATAGATGATGTCACACCAATGAGGGCATCCAATTTTGATGATGTGGTCTCCCAGATATAGGGCTCAGCTAAAGAGTTTTTATGTTCACATGAGAAATAAACTAGTTTTAACTCTCCCATTTGAACTTATGTCCCTATAACCCATAATTCACCCCAACTGTAAATGATTCAACAGTGTTTTTATTAACAGCATGTATTTTGAAGCAGTAAAGATAACAACTTGTTTGGTTAAATGCATACAAAGCTCAACATTATATATAATAACAGTTAATTCATATGCAAACTGTCATGCTAGTAGGAAGCCAGAGAACTTGGGTTTCTGACGGTTTGAGTCTGAAGTGGATGTTGGTCAACAAAAAAGACAATAAAGAAATAATTCACAACTTATTCAGAGAAATAACGATAATAATGAGACATGAAGCTTTATTTCCAACCATTTATACTGTCGCTCAGAGTTTTTGCATGGTAAACCTTGGATTTTAATATAATATAGTGCATTATGAACTTGTACGTATTGTAATATTTAATGTATATTCAAATCAATTATATTCTGTATATCAGTGACACACCCATCTTAACAATTTCTATATAACGCTTTATCTTGTCCTAGGCCAGGGGTCTCAAACTCAAATTAACTGGGGGCCGCTAGAGGTAGAGTCTGGGTCAGGCTGGGCCGCATCAAGTATTCCACAAAAAAATAGTATTCAAGTATTCCAAAAAAGGAGCACAACTGATCCAATCTTCTCAATATTTATTAACGTTTCTTCTGAACAGTTCCTCTGAATTTGAACATTCCTTTCTGTACATGATTGGTTCTTTATGAGCTGTCCTTCTGACAGTTGAAGTTCATTTTACAAACTTTCTTTGTCTATAACACATATTTGTGATATTTATATTTGCTTATGTCCTTTTTATTTTCTTTATACAACACATTAATGATATTGAATGTTTTTTTTTGGAAGGCACATTTCCTTTTATTATACTTAGAAAAACAATTATTGCTTTTGAAATACAAATATTTGCAGTCATGTCTGCCCGTCTTATTGAATTCTTTGTATAGTGTCTCAAATTACTGACTGCACAAATCAAAGCAAACCTTCTTATGAACCTGTTGGACACATATTACAAGCTCAAAGTGATTATTCTCACATTGTTTTAGAGCAGGGTCTCTCTCCAACACGTCGCTCGCGAGCTACCAGTAGCTCGTGGCCTGATTGGTGGTAGCTCGCCAAGGGGCCGTTCACATATCGCGCTCACATATTTTGCGCGCTCAAGTTCGTAATTTCAAATGTAGGCGCGCGGCAAGCGCGCTCATAATTGAAGCGACGCGCTCATTTTTTCCAGGCGCAGTAAGCTGTCACGAGACTATCTATGGTAGCTCATAAGGGATACATTTTTTTTTTTTTTTCGCGGCACACGCAACGACGGGCCGCACTAACATTAAACTTTAATGTCAAGTAGGGGGCCACAAAATATCACCCCGCGGGCCGCAAATGGCCCGCGGGCCGCGAGTTTGAGACCCCTGTCCTAGGCTAAAAGACCATAAACATTACAGATAACGTTCAAATTATCAGTAAACATATACATACATCTTAAAAGTAAGTCATGTTTCGACTGATACGATTTTAGGTCAGTGTTTTGGCTTTAAGTGTAACTCCGGTGAATTTAGTTTTAATGAATCACTTTTTTAGTCTTAGTTTAATTTTATGAAATAAACAGCTTGTAAACATACTTAATCACTAGATTTTTTTATATAACCCGTTAAACATGAAAGTAGGCCTGCTATGCAGTCATGTAAGATATTTCTAAACCTTTTTGGCATAAAACAGAGTCAAGAACCTCATTGGACCTTTTTATCTAAGAGTGTTTGGCTTTGTTTAACAAAAATGTGTCTTATTAACCTTCAGAAATAGTGTTTTTGTAATGTGGATGTTGCATTCCTGTTGTGGATGAACGGGTTTTTTGTGCAATGGTGAAACCAGGGCAAAGGTTTTAATGATCTCATGCCATGTCAATATCATTATCTGGATCGGATCTTGTGGAATTATGCAGTATCTCCTTTATATCAGTTTGTCATCGGTCCACATGGTGAACGGCCCATCAGACGGGCATGGTCTATGTGGAAAGTTTGGACATTTTACATGACCGCATATGACTAATTATATGTTAAAAAAGAGAAGAGATGAACACAGATTTAAAAATATTAGCGGAGATGATCTGGTCTTCGGACGGCTGAGGAATTCCTCTCAAACTTGTGAGAAAATCCGGATTCCTGCAGGACTTATTGAGAATTACAGTTAATAAAATACTGACCTGTTGTCCTACTTTTATACCAGTAAAGCTGAGATCTTGAAAAAAACTTTACATAATTTACAGCAGTCAAACTATTAATTTTAAAAATATTCCAGCTGCTAAGAAAAATTCATAAAATATATAATAAATGAAAAAGAACAATTTAAATGTAATTTTTTATACATTTACAAAATACATTTTTATTTATTTATTTTTATAAATAGGCTACAGTATATTAGCCTATATATAGTTATTCATTTACATTTATTTTATTATAATTTATTCCCTTTACAAATTCATAAAAAAATATTGCTGACACCATACAATAAGGTTTAGTTAGTTAACTAATATGATAATTAACAGCACTTCTAAAGCATTTATTAATATTGAATGATAATTTGAACATTTACTAATACATTATTAAAATCCAAAGTTGTATTTGTCAATCTTAGTTAATGCACTGTGAAATAACCTGAACAGACAATGAACAGCTGTATTTTTTCAATAACTACCGTTAACAAAGATTAACAACCTATTTATAGTAATTTATTTATAATGTAGCTATTTGATTATAATTTGTTCCACTTACAAATTAATAGAAAAAAGAGAATAACCGATTTTTTTTTTAAATAACCGAGTCAAAAATAAATAACTTGTTAAAAAAACGGACGAATTTGTGAATCGATTCCTTTAAATTAACAGTCCGGACAAATCGGTTCACAAAAAATGAGTCGTTTTTTGATTATATAAAGCTAAAACCTGCCTTGAAAACTCTGAGCGTGATGAAAACGTATCATATGAATGTTAATTTTCTTTTGTTGATTTGTTTGTAGAAGAAGTAACACCCAAGATCGTCCCTGGCAATTCATTTCAACGAATCGATTCATTTATTTGACATGCGTAGGCTGTCCATTAATCAAAAAGAGTTCTGAAACTGAAAACTAAGCAAGGTTTTTGGAAAACACCTGGGTAACTGTAGTTCACTCGGCATGTCTCTCCTGTTATCCGCGTATCAGTATTTAGCATCATTTATGTTCGTTATAAAGTGATGATAAAAGAACCAAGTCTTATTTGAAAATAATGACGAGCTTGTGAAGTGATGAAACGGTGCTCGTGGCCGTGACAGCACGAGCTCTGATTGGCTGGAGAGGAGAAACTCCTCGCCGGTGGGGTGAGCGGTTTAGCGGTATAAATACGCGAACCGATTCTGTTAGAAATTCGGTTGTACGGAGACGCTGGTGTGAAGTTAAAGAAAAAGAAAGCGAACATCAGATGAACATCAGCCAATCCGTGCATTCCCTTTAGGGTGGTGTCAAACTCTCCGACCAATCACAGCGCGCTATTCCTCCGCTCGCGACAGCACTACGCATCACCGTCAACAGCAGCGGTTCCAAGCCAGTGTGTGTCCAGGATATTCTCTGCGTTCTGCTAATACGATCTTGCACGTGCGTTGAATTCACACACACACACCCTTTACATCAGTCTGGTAAGTTTGGCTGTTTTTTCCTGGGAAAATGTTTTTTTTGTGTGGCGTCATGACCTAGTTTAGCTCGCCTGTTCTGGTTCTGCTGCTGCATCGCAGTTGCATTGAATGTTAGACTAACGGAAGTGTGTGTTTTGTGTTTATGACAGTGATCATCTTCATCATGCCTGATATGGATATTAAAACGGCAGTCTGGCGTCCAGAGCAGTCAGTGGAGGACGTGTTTGATACCACATATAAAGAGAAAGAAGGGCCTAAACCTCCCGTCGTCATAGTTTGGAGAAATGTGGTTCTGATGACTTTATTGCACACTGCAGCTCTATATGGGCTTCTGCTGGTACCATCTGCATCTGTGTTCACACTCTTCTGGAGTAAGTATTCACATCAACACACTAGATGTTTTATCTCAAATCAACATTCTGTCATTATTAAACTCACACGTCACGGAAAGAGATATTTAGCACAATGTTCCCGCTGCTCTTTTCCAAACAATTTCTAATTAAGTCATGTGTTATTTGAATGCATCTTAAATCTTATTCTTATGTGAGAAAATGACAGATTATATGCAAAGTAACATCTTCTTTTAAAGCTGTGAAACTTTAGTGCGGGTTATAAAGTTTAAGGGAACTTTAGTACATTTTATGCACCGACTGTAAAAACTGCCACTTCTAGTCACGTTTTTTCCAACTGGTTTACTTGCATGGTTTTTATTTTCACGAATGAATGATTCCTTAAATCACGTGTCTTGTTGAGGACAGTGGTGCACGATATACATCAACTACACACACTCCTTTTTGCTTGACAAAAGCTTATTTTTAGAAGCGTTTATTGCGAATTGACACTGAAAACACTGGCGGGAAACGATCTGTTCATGTGTAAATAGACACAGTGCTGAGTTTTTCTCTGAAACACGCAGTGCATATTTATTTTAATTGCACTAAGCCATAGGGGTGTGCGATATATATCGTCTATGATAACATTGTGATGGTTGTTTTAATGATGTGTGATCTGGCATTATGGAGTATGTAGGTTAGACTAGTGCGCTTGAGCATTTACAGCGTGATTTACTCGACTAAAATGCATTTATAATGCCCTCAATATTCAAGATAAGAAGCAAAAATACCTCTTTATGTCCTTTATATTTATATCATTTAATATAGTTAATCAATATCACATGAAGAGTGACGATTTCATCCAAATATCAGCATGATTACACGTGTGATTTTGATCTAGAGCAACAGTTCAATAAACAAGAAGTTAAAATTAAGTGACTTACATTTTAGACACAATATTGCCTGTTTTTACTCTATTTCGACTGTGAAAATAGTTCCAAACAAAGCAACAGGACTGTTTTGCGTCTCTGAGCAACACATTAGTTTCAATACTGAATGAACAAATTGGTTGGATGAATCATTCAATGACTCACTCATTAAGAGTCAAATGTTGAGTGAATCGGTTGAATAAATCATTCAATGACTCACTCATTAAGAGTCAAATGTTGAATGAATCGGTTGAATTCAATAACTCACTCATTAAGAGTCAAATGTTGAATGCATCGGTTGAATTCAATGACTCACTCATTAAGAGTCAAATGTTGAATGCATCGGTTGAATCCAATAACTCACTCATTAAGAGTCAAATGTTGAATGCATCGGTTGAATTCAATGACTCACTCATTAAGACAGTCAAATGTTGAATGAATCGGTTTAAGGAATCATTCAATGATTCACTCATTAAGACAGTCAAATGTTGAATGAATCGGTTGAATTCAATGACTCAATCATTAAGACAGTCAAATGTTGAATGCATCGGTTGAATTCAATAACTCACTCATTAAGAGTCAAATGTTGAATGAATCGGTTGAATTCAATGACTCAATCATTAAGACAGTCAAATGTTGAATGCATCGGTTGAATTCAATAACTCACTCATTAAGAGTCAAATGTTGAATGCATCGGTTGAATTCAATGACTCAATCATTAAGACAGTCAAATGTTGAATGAATCGGTTGAATTCAATGACTCACTCATTAAGAGTCAAATGTTGAATGCATCGGTTGAATTCAATGACTCACTCATTAAGACAGTCAAATGTTGAATGAATCGGTTTAAGGAATCATTCAATGATTCACTCATTAAGACAGTCAAATGTTGAATGAATCGGTTTAAGGAATCATTCAATGATTCACTCATTAAGACAGTCAAATGTTGAATGAATCGGTTTAAGGAATCATTCAATGACTCACTCATTAAGACGAATGTTGAATGAATCGGTTGAAACTTAATGACTGGCTCATTGACAGTGACGTGCTGCCACCTACTGGCGGTTTTAATTTCACATTTAAAGTATCTTTTCATATTTTAAATAATTTCTAAATATCATTATTCAACGTTTTACATTTAAAAAAAGCCAAACATAATTTATGCATTTGTAACCGCAGGTTAAATGCGTTGATGATCTGCATTAAAACAGTGTGTAAATGCATCTAAATGCCACTTCAGATGCAGATTCTGTGTTTCCTCTGCATTGCAAAGATTAATAACACACTCGAAAAAACACAAAGATTAATAACACGCTCGAAAAAATATCGTCTAATTATCGTTTTGGAGAAAATCCCCGAAAATATCCAGATGTCAATATCACACACTCCTAGATGAGTTTTTCACGCATATTTGCTCAAAAATACAATGATTTACGAGATGCATGAAGTCCAGGTGTGTCATTGAAACTGACGTGTGTAAAAGTCTGACATGTGCATTAAAAATTAAACATTAGTTTTGTGCCTCTGAGTAGCTGCATTAATTTTTCAGGTTATTTGCAGAAGAATATAATGGCTTGTTTGTTTGTTTCCCGCAGCGTTCGGGTGTTTCGTGGTCAGCGCTCTGGGAATCACCGCCGGCGCTCACAGGTTGTGGAGCCACAGGTCGTATAAAGCGTCTTTACCTCTCCGGATCTTCCTGGCCTTCGCCAACTCCATGGCTTTCCAGGTGAGACACTGAAAATGAAGCCTGAAGCGTCTCAGACATCAATCTGTCATGACTGCATGCATTAGTATAGAGCCGAGAGACTGTCATAACACACACACATTCACTCTGACTGTTCTCCATTTGTTAGAATAATAATACAGTAGTCAACATTTGAAGTGGATCAAAAAAAGGTTAGACGAGACAAGAACGGGTATTGTTTAAAATGCACGTATAACTTTGATGAAAGGTTTTGATCCACTTTAAATGTTGACTACTGTATTATTCTAACATATGGAAAACAGTGATGCAAACTCTGAAATGGGATCAAACATGATTAACACCAACATATAAAGGTTATTATTTGTGTTAGATTTGAAGCAAGTCGTATTAAAGATGATTTCTGTGCCTCGTTTAATCTGCTCTCTCCGCTGTAGAACGACATCTACGAATGGTCACGTGATCATCGCGTTCACCACAAATACTCTGAGACGGACGCCGACCCTCACAACGCCGTGCGCGGGTTCTTCTTCTCTCACATCGGCTGGCTTCTGGTCCGTAAACACCCCGACGTCATCGAGAAGGGACGCAAGCTGGAGATCAGCGACCTGAAGGCCGATAAGGTCGTCATGTTTCAGAGGAGGCAAGTCTGGAATCAAAGCCGCCACTAAATGAACTGTCTTTGGTCACTTAAAGGTGCAGTGTGTAATTTTTAGCGGCATCTAGTGGAGAGGTTGTGAATTGCACCCAATAGAAGTTACGGTGGTGACAGGAAGTGATGTCGTCGTCTGAGACCGCAGAGAGTAGCCAGTTAAGCAACGAGGCTTCTTTACAAACATTTAGTAAAACAATATATTATTGTTACTTGTTCATCATTGTGTCAGTGTTTTATTCGCTGACTTTAGCAGCTTCTTTGCATGAAGAACAACATTAGTGACGAAACTCGTTTGTCCGTTCAGGGCCACCGTAGAAACATGTCGATGTAAAGGGAACCGCGGTGTGTGTAGATAACGCCTCATTCTAAGCTAATAAAAGCATAACGGTTCATTATGTAAGCTCTTTATACACCACTGAAAACAGTGTATATGATATTGCAGATCCTCCTAAATATCCCACAATGCACCTTTAACTAAGTTTGATTGTGATTCTCAGGTACTACAAGCCGTCTGTGCTGCTGATGTGCTTCTTCCTCCCGATGTTTGTGCCCTGGTTCCTGTGGGGCGAGTCGCTGTGGGTGGCGTACTTCGTGCCGACCGTCCTCAGATACACACTTGTGTTGAACTCCACCTGGCTGGTCAACAGCGCCGCACACATGTGGGGGAACCGGCCCTACGACAGCACCATCAACCCCCGGGAGAACAGATTCGTCACCTTCAGTGCCATCGGTACGTCTCACACACACCGGCGTTCACACGGGCAGAGTTCGTTCGAAAACGAGATGATGCATCTCAAGGGGTTTATCCTAATAATAAACACATTTGAACCAGTTGAGCTTAAACTCTGACAATCGATGGGAGTTCAGACATGAAAAAAATTGTCAATTAGATTCTACTTCCGGGCGCTAAACTTATCTTTCGGATATTTCAGCACATTTAACCTCCAGTTCAACTTCTCCAGGGTTTCCGCGGGGTCTAAAAAAGTCTAAAATTTCAAAATCACAATTTAAGGCCTTAAAAAGTCTTAAATTTGCTGAAGTATTGTGTTCTAGGTCTTAAATCATTTTAAACAGGTCTTAATTTTCCTACGTCCTCCCGCAGCGCTTTGGAATGTTTTTGTTTTTTATTGCGTGGTGTTGTAGTTCCTTATTTCGCTAGTCCAAATATAATTCACTTTAATTAAGACTACAAAATAGACCAACATGCAACAGCCAATCAGCTTTGTGCATCCATCTAAGCTGTCTTCAGTACTGTTCAGTTTGAATAAATTATTTTACTTTGCAAGTAATTTTGAGACTCTGCGTTTCCTTTGTACGTTTTTTTTTTTATGTCGTGATATAGGTCTTAAATTTAATTCATAATGGTCTTAAAAAGGTCTTAAAAAGTCTTAAATTTGACTTTGTGAAACCTGCAGAAACCCTGTTCTCAGTGATGTAATACAAAACAAACTATGATGCACTGGTTAAAATGTTTGTACATCATGGTAAGTGTTTGATTCACTATTTTCATTTTTACTGACTTTATTTTATAAATCGTTGCGTTTAATAAAATAAGATGCTAAGGAGAATCACATCTGACAATACTGAGAATTAAAAAAACAAAAGCTATAATAAAATGTTGATCATAATGATAATTGTGAAAGAAAATGTGCCTAATTGTCATGAAAATCTATCATGGATTTACATCTAATATAATTTCTTATATATATGATACTATAAATAAGAAACTAAAACTGTTAGTATGTGGTGTTAAATGTCTAAATGAGTGAGTCATTGAATCATTTATTTGATTTGTTTAAACGGCTGATTCATTCAGGAATGCAGTAAATTACTCTCTTTATGAATGAGTCATTGAATCATTGGTTCACCCGATTGATTCGCTCAAAACTGATTCATTCAGAAATGAAACCCTGCTGTGTGTTGCTCTGGGACGCACAACACTTCTGCTCTGGATTTATTGGTAATATTTTAATTAAAAAATATGTAATAAAAAAAAAAGCAGACAATATCGTGTCTAAAATATAACACTATATTAACTTATCTATTGAACTGTTGTATAAAATCAATATCACATTTGCACTCATATTCGTAACACAAACAGCACTCGTGTGATATTGCGCTCGTTAGTCATGTGATATTGCTTGACTTTATCATATCATATAGGTCTATATATGAGACAAAAACTCATACATGGGCATTTTGCCCTGATATCTTGAATTTAAGAGCCATTTTCTATAGGCTCCATCACGCAGAGCTTCATGTTCATCACCAATCAACTCATTTAATATTAAAAATCACTCATGATTCATCAGTCATGAACGCTTTAGATCTGAATGTGCAGAACTGTGAATGTTTCATGTGATATTGCTCAACTATATCATGATATAAATATGAGACAACTCGTTATGGGGCATTTTAAATAAAAAATGATTTTCTAAATAAGAAATTTTCTTAAAAACTGCCAGTATGTGGCGTTAAAGGTCTAAATGAGGGAGTCGTTCATTCATTCGATTAGTTCAAACGGCTGATTAATTCAGAAATTAATTAAAATGGCTCTTTTTATGAATGAGTCATTGAATCATTGCTTCACCCGATTGATTCGCTCAAAACTGATTCATTCAGACGCACAACACTCCCGCTCTGGATTTATAGGTCATATTTTCATTGGGGAAAAAGTGTCTAAAATATAACACAATATTATCTCATCTATTGAACTGTTGTATAAAAAGAATCAATATCACATTTGCATGTGTGTTATTTGGAACATAAACGGCACTCGTGTGATATTGCTCAACTGTATCATGATATAAACGTGAGACACAAACTCACACAGGAGCATTTTTGCATTAGAAAGTCTCATTCGGTCTCGTTTGAATTATTTTTTTAAAACTGTTTATGTGGCGTTAACGGTCTAAATGAGTGAGTCGTTCATGCGTTCGTTCAAACGGCTGATTCATTCATTCAGCTCTCTTTATGAATGAGTCATTGAATCATTGGTTCACCCGATTGATTCGCTCAAAACAGATTCATTCTGACGCACAACACTCCCGCTCTGGATTTATAGGAAATATTTTCGTTGGGGTAAAAGTGTTTAAAATATAACACGATATTAACTTATAGTTTTATACAACAGTTGAATAGATATCATGATATAAACGTGAGACACAAACTCACACGGGGCATTTTTGCATTAGAAAGTCTCATTCGGTCTCGTTTGAAATTTTCTAAAAAAAAACTGTTTATGTGGTGTTAACGGTCTAAATGAGTGAGTCGTTCATGCGTTCGTTCAAACGGCTGATTCATTCATTCAGCTCTCTTTATGAATGAGTCATTGAATCATTGGTTCACCCGATTGATTCGCTCAAAACAGATTCATTCTGACGCACAACACTTCCGCTCTGGATTTATAGGTAATATTTTCATTGGGGAAAAGGTGTTTAAAATATAACACAATATTAACTTATAATTTTATACAACAGTTGAATAGATATCATGATATAAATATGAGACACAAACTCATTATGGGGCATTTTTAATAAAAAATGATTTTCTAAATAAGAAATTTTCAAAAAAACTGTTTATGTGGCGTTAACGGTCTAAATGAGTGAGTCGTTCATTCATTCGTTCGTTGAAACGGCTGATTCATTCATTCAGCTCTCTTTATGAATGAGTCATTGAATCATTGGTTCACCCGATTGATTCGCTCAAAACAGATTCATTCAGACGCACAACACTTCCGCTCTGGATTTATAGGTAATATTTTCATTGGGGAAAAGGTGTTTAAAATATAACACGATATTAACTTGTAGTTTTATACAACAGTTGAATAGATATCATGATATAAACGTGAGACACAAACTCACACGGGGCATTTTTGCATTAGAAAGTCTCATTCGGTCTCGTTTGCATGGTGGAAAACCCCGTTCGGCCGCTCTTAGACTGCATGTTAATGATTAATTCCCTTTTGCATGATCTGATCTCCTGCTTTCATTCCTCAGGCGAAGGCTTCCACAATTACCACCACACGTTCCCCTTCGACTACGCCACCAGCGAGTACGGCTGGAAGCTCAACCTGACCACATGCTTCATCGACCTCATGTGTTTCCTCGGCCTGGCGAGCGACCCGAAGCGCGTGTCCCGGGACGCGGTGAACGCTCGAGTCGTGCGGACCGGCGACGGGAGTCACAGGAGCGGCTAACGTTCAATCCCACCATCCCTCAATCCCAACGAACTGCCAGCCGGAAAACAGGAGGACAATCGGTCCTTCCAGTGACGGGGAGTTTCGACGACAGTGTTGACGCTTCTGCTTTGAGTTCAGATGCCATGTTCTTTAGCCCAGTCTAGCCTGTGAAGCTTTCACGCGGGGATCCGAGCTGTTTGTGTAGCGCTTATTCCGATTTAGTTTCCGGCTTGTCGATGTTTTTGACACCCCAGTCTGAGCTTCAGTAGCTGACGTGCCAGTTTTACTCTCAACAACGACCCCGTCACACAGGCATCTCACCAAACCTAGCTGTGCAATTTGGGAGAAATTAAATCTATTTAATATTTAACAACAGCTGCACCTTAACGAATCAAGCGATCGTATTTAATAGTTTAATATTGCCAAACTGTTTTGTTGCCATACTTGCACAAATTGTCCATGTTTTGGAGAACTGTTTGAATCTGTATTAATGATGCTTGATTTCGAAGTGTTTGACCTCAGCACAGATATGCGGAACGATATGTTCCTAAGTCTTTTTTTGTTTTGTTGTTTTTTCGGATGGATCGAGATCAACTTTTACTCGCTGCGAGTGGCGTTTAGTGTAATTTCGTGTTAAGACATCGACGGAGAGGCTGCGTGACAATGATTGAGCGTGTTGACTCTTGTACTGTAAAATGTATAGTTTGGTTTTGTATTGTAATTAACTGCAACATCATCCAGATTTGTTCCTACATTAACGTTGTCATCTTCTAAAGTACATCTGGGACGTTAATGTAAGCATGCTGTATTAATGCAGAACTCTTTTCTATTGCATATTGATACAGACGGAAGCATCTTACAGTAATGATAATAATAATAATACAGGCTCTGCTGGTATTGGTGTCCAGATTGCCAAAAGCGTTTGTTGCATGCGTGCCGAACCGTGATGTTTTCACCTGTACGTTTAATCAAACATAATGTATTTTCAGAGATTTTTCAATGCTATTTTTCCATGTTCCGATTTCCTTTGACAAGTTGCACGTAGTTAAATAGTTTGGCAACCTTTAAAACGATTTGGATTGTAATTCCTTCCAGACTTTACAGTGACTGAAGACGCCACTGTTCCTCTCACTGGACAGATCGCCTTATTTTCACTCGGACTCTTGTGACTCGAGAGGCCGGAAAGCGGTCGTGATATTTCTCATGCTGTTCGGAAGAAGCCGTTGGCTCTTAAAACTAATACGATGTTCTTGTTTGTGATAACAGCCTGTAATAGTGAATAGACTCTTGTTTCTTAATCTATTACTGGAAATAAAGTCTCAAGCAAAGAGCTTCTCAACTTTCTGACATGTGCACTTCATTTCCTAATGTTTGTGTGTGTTTGGGACATTCTTTAGCAGAGTTATAACAATGAAAAAAGGAATGTAAATAAACTGGATGGAAATATAGGAGCAAAGTTCATAGTCATTAATTTATGAATCAGCTTTAAAAAACGTATCTGTCCTTCTTTGACATGATGATGATATTACAGTGTATTATTATTTTCACAGGCCATAATTAGTCCTGCATGTCTGAGCACGTCTGCAGGGATTCATTCACTAGAAAGTAGTGTCTGTAAGTGCATACATGCTGTTAAAACTTTCTTAGTTAACATAGTCACTGCAAAAACATATTCATTCTATACAGAATCATAACTAATACATATATTACGTTTGTTTATTTAAATGATGTAAGCAACAGAAGGCTATTATAAAGATAAAGGCTGCTATTAATGCCATTACTAAATATAAACTCTTTCATTAATGTCTTTTGGCGTTATGTCAATATCCACATTTGATAAAACACACAGTTAGTGTGTTATTCCCGGTCATTGCGGTGCTGCGTCACAACGTTCACAGCATCCCGGCAATTTTAACAGCAGATCAACGTCAGCCAATCAGCATCGCCGTGTGACTCCGGCGGACCAATCAGCGAGCTGTTCTCGAATGTTCAGTGCAGCGCTGAAATGAGACATGATGTTGATGAACGGCTCAATTTGCGGTTTCAAACCGGTCACATTCTTTCAGACTCTCACGCCGTGTGTGTGTGTGTGTGTGTGTGTGTGTGTGTGAAACAACCCGTTAAACCCACCGGAAACACTCGTAATCAACTTCTGATGTGTTTACCGAGTCCTCTATGAGCGATAGTGCAGTTTATCCCTCAGAAAAGAAGATGCGTCATACAAACAAAATAAAATTGGTTTAATAATTTGGTCTAAAATAGTCTAGTAATAATTTATTGATTACTAAGACGCACTGGTTCATGATAAAATATTTGTAAAATGTCAGTATCGATTACTGACTTTTATTATTATTGTATGTTGTTTAATGTGTTTATATTTTATGCTGCATGGCTTCTTTTTATGTCCAATGTTTTACTGTACAGCACTTTCAAATGTGCTATAGAAATACATTTGGACTCGACTTGATTATGCATGTTTAATAGAGTATATTTGGGTTTTAAATAAAGACTATTAAACATGTTTTAGGTGATGTAATGAATTGGAAAATGTTTCTTTCTCGCCATCTACAGGATAAAACCAGAATACTAAGAAGTGCAAATGCAGAAAATGACTTGATTTCAACCCTGATCTCAACAGAGATCGTCTTTAGAGCCCAATGATTTATGTGTGGAATTATAAGTTGAATTTAATAGGATTAAATATGCCTTTCCTACACCAGCTCAAGCGTTCATAGTTGATCTCAACTCTAAAACGACTGAACATTATTCTGAAGAATGCTGATATTGTTTTCATTAATCTTTAATGGCCCGTTATTGGTTTTACAGGACATTATGAAGAAAACAGAGACACCGGTCATCTATGAAAGTTCTGTATTTTATTTTACTTCAAGTGTTTTCAAGCTTCATTAACGACCTCAGAATGAATCAGTTTCAGACAGAACATTGACATTTTCAGCAGAACAAACAGATGATCTAGTTTATCAGATTAACTGTTTAGTTGCATTCAGTTATTGTAGAGATTGTCAAGAACACGTCCACGTCAAAAACCAGGAGAAATTATAAATACATATATAAATTATAAGATTATTTTTAGGACTATTAATATTCAATTTCAATGCATTTCTCATTCGCAAATAAACAAAAGTATTTATACATCATATGCATGTTGCACACCATTTAAACTGAATTAAAAAATGTGTTTTTTGGGGGGAATTACAAAAAAACGCAAAAGTAAAAAATGATGAGAATTTGCTGTTTTACTGTCAAAACAAAAACCGGCTTGATTTTCTTCTTTGATTTTGACCCGGACGTGTTTCTGACATGTTTCCATCTCTAAGTCTCCAGATCCGAGCAGAACTCATTCCCATCCGGAGAAGCTTCAGGAGTGTTTGGAGGAGAAACAGCAGTGCAGATCAAGCGTCAAGTGCAATATAAAACACCCTCCTTCACACAAAAGAAAATCATCCCACAATTCATCAATCGGTCAATAACCACCCATAACATCCACTGACAGTGACTAAACTACAGACAGCATCAGATCTTTGATCATAAACCCAGCGTACAGAAGGAACCTGTGCTCGAGTCGTTCGGGTCGTGTTCCTACAGTCTCACACTGAATCCAAAGCCACAATGATTCACACAAATGTATTAAGATCATCCACATTAAGTCAATTTGAACACATTTTACGCACAATAACGCGTTCTCAAACTGCAACAATTTGGCCAAATTCGATCTGCTCGTGTATTAAGGCTTATTCTTAAACTGTCGCATTAACAGTTTCTGCACATTCTTGGGTCTAGCATTGAATTCAGTGCAACAATTTACACTGATGCGTTCAATTCACACACACATAATACGCAATAATGGTTTTCTGAACAGTCGTTCTGCTTGTGTTGGATGAATAAGAAGGAAAGCAAACACCAAACGCACGAGAAGAACTCCAGTCGTGAAGTGGTGGGATGTTAATGCTGGACTGGTTCTGAGATCAGTGCGCGAGAGAGAGAGAGAGAGAGAGAGAGAGAGAGAGAGAGAGAGAGAGAGAGAGAGAGAGAGAGAGAGAGAGAGAGAGAGAGAGAGAGAGAGAGAGAGAGAGAGAGAGAGAGAGAGAGAGAGCGAGAGAGAGAGAGCGAGAGAGAGAGTCACACGGCCAGCTTGTTGCCGATGGTCATGAGCACCTTGAGGACGGGCATGAACGCAGAGATCTCGCTGAAGTTGCTGCTGCTCACGACCTGCGTGTGAACCTCCAGACCCTGCAGATAGTTGCGTTCGCCGACACAACGGCTGATCTCGTGCAGGCCGCCGAGGATGCTGGGAGAAAGCTGACGGGGCGACACAAAACACCAGGTTTATATTGAAACCTTAGAGACTCAACCAGGGGTCGTACACACACACTAATATGACATTCAAGGACTTTTCAAGCACTACTTTTTGATTTTCAAGGACTAAATCAGAGATCTCACTTATCAAACAATATCTTTATTATCTTTCAAATTCTAAAAAAGGTAAATGGATCAACAAAAATAAGCTAATAAAACAAAATGGTAGAAGTAAAGAGCAGCGGATGCAGTGACTGCGGTAACTTTAACCATTGAAAGGATATTATGACAAAGATATCGCTTTCCTTATTCAAACTGATTTTTTCTTCCATGAATATACGATTGACTTGAAGAATGAAAGATGTATCATATACTTGGATATTTATGAGCAATATCACACTCATAGCCATGCGAAATGCCTCTCTCTCTATATATATATGTCAGACGGACTGCAGCTTTGATTTTGTGTGAAAAGATTGTTTATTGACTAAATTTAACACTAATTTCACACATGTGACCCTGGATGACAAAACCAGTCACATGGGTCAACTTTATTTAAATTTAGATTTATACATCGTATGAAAGCTGAATAAATCAGCTTTCCATTGATGTATGGTTTGTTATGATAGGACAATATTTGGCCGAGATACGACTATTGAAGATCTGGAATCTGAGGGTGCAAAAAAATCGAAACATTGAGAAAATCTCCTTTAAAGTTGTGCATGTGTTTGTGCTTTTGCTGCACTCACTCACTAAAATTATTTTTTAAATATATTTGCGGTAGGAAATGTACTAAATATCTTCATGGAACATGATCTTTACTTAATATCCTCATTATTTTTGGCATAAAGGAAAAATCAATAATTTTGACGCATACAGTGTGTTGTTGTCTATCGCCACAGAAACACCCGTGCGACTCAAGACCAGGGTCACATGTGCTGTCTTTCAATAAAGTACCTTTTCATAAATATGATTATTTTCAGGATAAGGAGAAACGTCCTGAACTCACCGCTTGATCCCGCAGTTTGTCGTACAGACTCTCCAGCCGCTTGGAGGCGTCGTCAAGCTTGCGCTTCGTTTGCTGGAAGGAAAGTTAATTTAAGAAACTTATTAAAGCAGCTTATTGTGGTTAAAAATCCTCCAACGTGTACAGGAAGAGACTTAAACAGGATTTATGTGATTATTATGGTCTTTATATATTCTATATATGATACTTTTGAGAATGTAATACATTTTTCATCTTCTTTTTTTTAAATAATTATGTTTATTGAATTTTCTTAAAATACAAATATAACAAGACCATTTTTTCACCTTCATAAATCAATAATTTGGATATTAATTCTGTATACAAGACATAATAATAAGATCTTATGTACAACTTTTTTAAAAAGGCTGTGTGTTTGTACCATCTACACTACCGCTCAAAGGTTTGGAGTAATTAAGATCTAAGATTAAGATTTCCTAATGTTTTTTACAGGAGTCTCTTCTGCTGCACTAAAGCTGCGTTTATTTGATCAAAAATATGAATATGTGAATGTGAATGTGTGAATGTGAATATATAGTAAAGTGTCATTTATTCCTGTGATCAAAGCATCATTACTCCAGTCTTCAGTGTCACATGATCCTTCAGAAATCACTCTAATATGATGATTTATGATTATATGATAAACATTTCTGATTATCATCAATGTTGAAAACAGTTGTGCTGCAATGTCATGATAAAAGATTACTAAAGATTGTATCGGCCAAATACTTAGTTTCTAGGTGGACAGGTTATAAACATGAGCACTGATTCCAGAAGGTTGCATAAAGCCAGCCAATCAGATTAGAGTTATGCTGTGTGTGTGTGTGTGTGTGTGTGTGTGTGTGTGTGTGTGTGTGTGTGTGTTACCGGGTCTGCGGCGGCCAGCTGACAGCGCTGAACTAAACTACTGAAGGTGGTCTTGATGATCATGTGTTCGGGGGGGATTTCCTTCTGTCCCACTCGCACCGCCGGAAGCTGCTGTAAAGACTAGAACACACACCAAACATCAGGCACTCGCATCACACTAGGGCTGGCAAACAAAAATGTCAAATATTCGTCAAATTAAATAAAAAAAACTGCACAATCGAATGCAAAAACCCTGCATTAAAAGTTTTTTTTTAATGATGTAATTGACGCGTTTAAAATTATTTTTTTTAACAATTTATTAAGTGAATAAATGGATTATAAGTGCAGCGTAAATATAATTTAGTATAAAAAATATCCTACAAATACAAAATATTAAATAAAAAACATTATCAAAAACTAAAATATAGTAAATTTATTTCATTGACAAAAATAAAATAAAAAATTCGCTCATTTGTCACAGACACGCAAAGAGCACCAGAGGGTTAAAAAAATAAAAATAATTTTTTTTACACATTCGAATGCAAAAAACGTACATTTTCGATTTGTTGGTGTGTCAAGAGGCGCGAGACATGATGATGACGTGACTGACGCGGTGTGTTTTAGTTAGCTTATCCAGGTTACAGATGCGGCGCCATTGTTCATTTGAAAAAATGGCGGGAAATGGTTTATTTAAGAATAATTGTTTCAAAAGTTAATGCCCTTTAAAAAGTGAATGTCATTTCATTTCAATAAAAGTCAAGTCACCTTCAGTTATATAGCACTTTTAACCATGTAGATTGTTTCAAAGCAGCTTTACAGAGATAAACATACAATTTAAGGAACCTGTGATTAACGCTGACGGCGTTCACATCCACATTCAGAATCGAGTCTATAGTTATGTGCTTTTGAAAATATGTGCGCAGGTTTGTAATTCCATACAACCCATGCCTAAACAAACTACTTGTCTTGCCTATAAAAAGATGCGATGCTTGATTTGTTTATGTATTGCGCCCTCTTGTGGGCATAGGAGACAATACTTTTTGCCTTTAGAATTAGAATATAATTCGAATTTAGCTAATATTTAAGAACGAAATTCGAATTTATATTTTCAGCCATTTTGACAGCCTTAGATCACACCAGCACATCTGATCCGACTCCAACACGATGACCTCTGACCTGTATGTTCGGCTCCTGAGGGGCTCCGGGCGGCACCTGGACTCGGTCCTGTTGCACAGGATTCTCCGTTGGGAAGCCCATCACCGGCGCTGTAATCGGAGCAGGAGGAGTGTAGTTCTCTGGCAGCTGTACAACACACACACACACACACACACACACACACACACTCTATAAACCATAGACTGTAAAAAAATATGGGCGTGGCGTCACCCGTAGTGTTTCTGAAGAGCGTTTTTGAAGTCCAAAGTGGGCGGAGCCGCTGTCGCCATCTTGGCCGCGCGTCACTCCCGGATAAACAACAATGTGCAGCGAGGCGGATTAGCTGAGGTGACGTGACGCTAACACACAGCAGACAAACGGCTAGTAGTGACATCAGCGGCAATCCACCTGTCACTCAAGTGGCCACGCCCTTAATTATGCACAACTTTAAGGCTTAATATAATTTAAACGGATGAGTTATAAAAAAATTCACCGTCCTCACAGTCGTCATGAAGGGCCACATTAGCGATATAGACCAAAACCAGTTTTAACACCAGACTGTAAACATGTGTTTTTCTGCTGTAAAGTTGGGCATTTTAACATGCGGGTCTATGGGACTGAGTCTCTTCTGCAGCCGCCTCTAGTGGCCTGTGGAGGAACTGCAGGTTAACTCACTCAGTGTCGGATTCAAGAGAGAAGGTTGCCGCTTGGTTGGGACTCCTCATACTGTTTCCCATTAAATACATTATAATCGGTATTAACATCATTATGCAAATAAATACCTTTTTCTTGCGTTGTCCTGAGCGTACAGCTGGAGGGTCGTTCCACCCGTCGCGAGCCGCTGACAAGAGAAGACTCACAGTCACCAAAACATGCATGTAAATAATAATGCATGCATCAATAAAGCAGCAGCAAAACTCATCTGGACACTAAAGTCACACTAATAAATGTGTGAACGACTCGTTTATAGTACGGGAAGACCCACACACACACTTCATCAAGACAAACATTTGACAGAGTTTGTCAGGTTTGAAGCGCTAAATCAACAGAAACTTGATCTGATATTCACTCACATTTCTAAGTGTCGATTCTTTCTCTGCCTGATTTAAACTACAGTCTGATTCAACAAGGATGCATTAAATTGCAGCAAAGCTGTTTTCAACACTGATAATAATCATAAATGTGTCTTGAGCATCAGATCCTCATATTAGAGTGATTTCTGAAGGATCATGTGACACTGAAGACTGGAAATTCAGCTTTGATCACAGGAATAAATTACACTTTACTATATATTCACATAGAAAACAGCTTTTAAATTATACTATTTCAAAATATTTTCTGTACTGTTGATCAAATAAATGCAGCTTTGGTGAATAAAAACATTTAAAATCTTACAGATCCCGAACTTTGAACAGTATTATTACCTCTCCTTCCTCTTAATCTGTCAGTTTATATCATCATATAATGCAAAACTCACACAGCAAACTTGCAAACAGCCGTCAGAAGCCACACACAGATTATTACCCATGAGCCTCTGGGAGATCACACAGGAAGCTCAACACGACCGGCGTGCTATTATTCTGACAAACAACTCCTAATCAGTCAGCATTAAATATTAGAAGAGCCGATTCGAGGATGGCCTGTTGCTGTCCCTATGAAGCACTGGAACACACACACAATGCTCTGTTCTGAAGCTTATGAACACACACACACACACACACACACATACACACACACACACACACTCTCTCTGTTCTGAAGCTTATAAACAAACATAATGTCTCTGTTCTGAAGCTTATAAACACACACACACACACACACAACTATCTCTGTTCTGAAGCTTATATAACACACACACACACACACACACACACACACCTTCCTCTTCTGTCTGGTAAGTCAGCCATGGGAAATATCCTGGAAATCAAACAGCAGGAACAGTATTTCAGAGACACTACAGAGGAGTTTTCAACTCCCAATTCTGTGATTCTGTCATCATTTATTCTCCCCAAACCTCTGCAACTCTCTTCCTAAAACAAAAGGAGATCAGCTGGTGCCTTTTATATTATCATCATTGAACATGATAGTGAGTAAATTATTTATTTTTGGGTCTTCCTGAAGAAACTTCTTTCAAATACATGAAGACATCTGAATCCATCCACACTTTCGACGGGTTCGGCGTGTAAGGATGCGTTCCTGCGGTTAAAACGTGAGACGCAGATCTAGAGACGCATTTTTAAAAGAGATTTTAACTTGAGTAGCGCGTTTTAGAAAGCCGGGTAACACACGATACTCTGCTAAACTATTTAACTGCCCCCTTCCACACAATTAAAGTTACTTTCACGGCTATATTAACATTAGGCTTCCATTGCGTTTTCTTTCCAAATTATTACTGGACGGAAGAAAAGTGAAAATGTTAGTATTTTATTTAAAGTGGAAATAAAAAATGGTCTTGTCATGGAGATGTGTGTAATAAAATGGTATAAATAAATATATTTATCTATCTATCCATCCATCTCTAGGCCTTTATTAACCCCCCGGAGCCTGTGGAGCATATTATGATGGATAGATGCACTTTTATCATGGATAAACCCTTTTATGATGGACAGATGCACTTTTATCATGGATAGATGCACTTTTATGATGGACAGATGCACTTTTATCATGGATAGATGCACTTTTATCATGGATAAACCCTTTTATGATGGACAGATGCACTTTTATCATGGATAAACCCTTTTATGATGGACAGATGCACTTTTATCATGGATAAACCCTTTTATGATGGACAGATGCACTTTTATCATGGACATATGCACTTTTATGATGGAGAGATGCACTTTTATCATGGATAGATGCACTTTTATCATGGATAGATGCACTTTTATGATGGATAGATGCACTTTTATCATGGACAAATGCAGTTTTATGATGGATAGATGCACTTTTATGATGGATAGATGCACTTTTATGATGGATAGATGCACTTTTATCATGGATAGATGCCCTTTTATCATGGATAGATGCACTTTTATGATGGACAGATGCACTTTTATGATGGACAGATGCACTTTTATGATGGACAGATGCACTTTTATGATGGATAGATGCACTTTTATCATGGATAAACACTTTTATGATGGATAGATGCACTTTTATGATAGATAGATGCCCTTTTATCATGGATAGATGCACTTTTATCATGGATAAACCCTTTTATCATGGATAGATGCACTTTTATGATGGACAGATGCACTTTTATGATGGACAGATGCACTTTTATGATGGACAGATGCACTTTTATGATGGATAGATGCACTTTTATCATGGATAGATGCACTTTTATCATGGATAAACCCTTTTATGATGGATAGATGCACTTTTATGATGGATAGATGCACTTTTATGATGGATAGATGCACTTTTATCATGGATAGATGCACTTTTATCATGGATAGATGCACTTTTATCATGGATAAACCCTTTTATGATGGATAGATGCACTTTTATCATGGATAGATGCACTTTTATGATGGATAGATGCACTTTTATCATGGATAAACCCTTTTATGATGGATAGATGCACTTTTATGATGGACAGATGCACTTTTATGATGGACAGATGCACTTTTATGATGGACAGATGCACTTTTATGATGGACAGATGCACTTTTATGATGGACATATGCACTTTTATGATGGATAGATGCACTTTTATGATGGACAGATGCACTTTTATGATGGACAGATGCACTTTTATCATGGACATATGCACTTTTATGATGGACAGATGCACTTTTATCATGGATAGATGCACTTTTATCATGTATAGATGCACTTTTATTATGGATAGATGCACTTTTATCATGGATAGATGCACTTTTATCATGGATAGATGCACTTTTATCATGGATAGATGCACTTTTATCATGGATAGATGCACTTTTATCATGGATAGATGCACTTTTATCATGGATAGATGCACTTTTATCATGGATAGATGCACTTTTAACATGGATAGATGGACTTTGATGGACTTTAAAAAATATCCTGCCATTCACTGCCATTATAAAGCTTGAAAGAGCAGGACATTTTTTTGACATTGTATTCGTCTGAAAGAAGAATGTCATATACACCTAGGATGACTTGAGGGAGAGTAAATCATGGGCTAATTTTAATTTTTGGGTGAACTATCCCTTTAATCATTCCAAACTGTAGATGGGTTCAGCATGTACCTGTAGGTGGAGGTGGGAGGTTGGTGCCGGTGAAGCTCTTGGCTCCTGGAGCGCCGGGTCCGCCCTGAGGATAACCGGCTCCGAGAGGCGTATACACACCGCTGGCAGGTGTTTGTGTGTGTGGAGGCCCCTGTGTGTGTGGAGGCCCCTGTGTGTGTGGAGCGCCTGGGAAGAAGGGCATCGGGCCGCCTGGCAGAGAGGTGGGTGATGTAAACCCTGGAGCGGGTGGAGGAGACATCAGGGGTCCCGATGGAGACATCAGGGGTCCCGGCGGAGACGCGGGCGGCACTGAAGGACCCGCCAGGCTGGAGGAGGGCATCGACGGGCCTGACATGAAGCCCACAGGGCCACCGAGAGACCCGGACTGAGGGAACGGCTGAGACTGAGGGAAACCTGGAAGAGGAAACATTTACTAGAGTGTTTCTGGGGTCGATGTGTATAAGCGAGCATTACTTTGCAAAGACAACTATAAATTTGTTTTTAGAAGTTGGTCATTTTAAACTTGATAGTTTTGAAAGTTTGCTAAGATGGGGAGGTGTACAACAATGGCATGTTAATAGTAAATGACAAAAACAACCAAGAAAACAGCTCCGATCTTGTCATTTCAGTCACTTCGATGTGTTCACAAGACAGCAAACTCCGCAGATAAACATTTAAAAAAATTAAAATCACGCACACTCGGGTTTGATTTGGGTAGTGCAAGCCTATTTACCTGTCTGTGTTCTACATCATATTTCCTGGCTAGTTTACTTTGTTTTTATAAAACACCACACTTTCACCCAATATAATTATTCTCCTGAATAATTAAAAACAAGTTTAAATAGGTTAATGTTAAAATGTTAAATAAGTTCTTGTTAAAACACACTAGACATGCTTATTCTGTGCATTTTGGGCACTTTTTGTGTGAAATCATATTTATTTTGTCCATCAGAAGTGTGCTTTCACATGCACACCGGAAAAAAAACACGCTGCTCACGCTTGCGGTGTGAATGTATTATGGATGTATTATGAAGCTGATGTATTATGAACCTGGAGCTGTGGCAAGCTTGAGCACTGATTAGACTATGTATTTTATATAGGCAAATAAAGGCGCATTATTATGATTGATGGCTTATTAATATAAACGCGCGATTAGTCGACTAATGGCTTAAATGACGACTACTAGTCGACTAGAAAAACTTTTAGTCAAGGGCAGCCCTAGTAATTAGGGTGTGTTATGAAGCTGATGTGGTTACCTGGAGCTGTGGCAGGGTATTGTGGGTATTGTGGTCTCAGGCCGGGCCGCGGCGCTCCAGCAGACTCAGTCTGAGGGGTGAAGAGACGGGGCATCGTCTGAGCAGGGAGTGTGGACGGGTACGACCCCTGCGCAGGACACACATTACAACACATCAACACGCAATGCCTGAATAACTATTGCATTACAGGTCAAGCTTATGCAACAGTCTGAGCAGCCGTGATGATGCAAACACACACGAGCAACGAGCTGCAAGCCAGAGCAACTACTTATTACCAGTGTTGTTATTGGTAACCGAAACATAGCAAAGATGAAATAATATATTAATATTAGATGAAAAACTTGAGTATAAGAAACACACTAAAGCAAGTACGCTATCCGTTTCTTCTGTAAAAATAAGCAAACTTTAAGGGCTGATTCTATCGCTGTGAAGCTGTTAAATAACAATATTACTGATTTTTAAAAAGAAAGTGCAGAATATCTTTTCAATGCACTTTAGATGATGTCTCTGGAGCAGAAAATATTGCAGTTATGGAGACAGCATTATTGTAATGTGTGTCCAAAATGTCAGTTTAGACTTTTAAAGTGTCAGTCACATGTCAATATGAACAAAGGCACAGACGCCACAACAGGTTATATCTGATGCCACATGTATTATTGTAGAGATGTGTTTTTTTTAAAGTAGATCCTGTTGATTACAATGTTGACTACAATGTAACAGTGGTGTTCAAAACTCAATAAAATACGAATTATAAAACTAGATCCTATTTTAACACATTTATAACACCGTGTTTACATTAAAAACCCATGTTTACATAAAAACAATGCAAATACTATGGAATGGCTATCCATTCTTTCGTTGTATTTTACTGTGTTTTATCTAATCCGTTTGAAATTGTACAGCACTTTGGTACACACTATGTTTTTTAAGGTGCTTTATAAATAAACTTTTTTCTTTTGCCCGACCAGAGACACTCTCCGCGTGTTTTGGCTCTCCGCGTGTTTTCTCTCTCTGTGTTTCTTCATTCATTGAGAGAAAATGTGCGCCTTTTGGGTTTGTAGTCTTTGTAATTACGTATTTTCACAGTCTTATACCTCAACAGTTCTACATCAAACTGCGACTTTCTAGACTTTAAAATGTATCTTTTAAATTGACAAACATCATATGTGTAATTCAGGACACAATTCAAACGAGATCAAAATATTTGTCGTCTCTCGCCATTGACTAATCTACCATACAATATTTTTCCGAAATAAGGTCCCATGGTGGTCGCCCGGAAGGGGAGGGGCTTAGGCTCTCTATGAAAGGATGTGTTTTCGAATACCTCTGGAAGTGGTCAAGCTCAAACCGTTATAGACCCCGTTTACACCTGTCTTATTACTAAGGTAAAGGACACACACATTATCCACACTCGTGGCAGCATATCAGACCTCTGTCCTTACACATTTAAGACCGTGTTAGGGAAAGGAACCGTTGTCTATATAGGGGCAGTTGTGGAACAAGTTACATTTCCAGGATGAACTCTTTCAAAAGGAGAATCAAGGCCTGGTTATTAGAGAGGATAGCGGAATAGAATCAGGGGCCAGTTACCGTTTTTATTTATTTATTATTTAAGACATTTTTTTTTTATATGTACATTATTTACATTGTATATTTTTATATATACATTTTTTATGTTATGTCATTGATTATCACACAATCTGTAAGTGTCTTGTTTTGATGTTATGTGTTGAGGACCACAATGGAAATAAGTCCTGGACTTTATTGTGTTTTTATCCTCGATAAGGCATTCTTGATACAAATAAATAAATCATATCAAATCAAATTTAGTGTCGTCCACTTGTGATCCGATCGACCTAAACCAAAACGCATCTTAACACCAGGTGTAAACGGGACCAAAGAGCAGACGAGACGAGAGGCTAAAATGTTGGTGACACTCATTGTAATGTACACATAATGTTGGGGCATTTTGTAAAACACAATAAAATGTTAATGTTAATTCTCTTGAACCTTTATTTAACTGACAGTAGTATGAAGAATAGATTTGCACATTGTATTTTTTAGGTATAAATCTTTTTGATTTTGATGGCTGCAACAAAAAAAGTAGGCATGTTCACCTCTGTCTCACATCACATTACACTTTTAATCTTTTAGGAATTGAAGATACTAATTGTCGAGGTTTTGCAAGTGGACTTTTAAAGGGATGTAAAGCTTTCTCCTATAACAGAGATTCGAGTTGCATTTCTGGATGCAGCGTCAGACTGTGTTACGTGACAGGTTTTCCAAAGTGCTCCTGTGCACATGTGGCTGTATTTAACGCCGTAGCAGGATGGCTTCTCATTCAATGCCATCTGAGGGGTCAAAGGTCATGCACATACAACAGGTCTCCTGCCTTGCCCCACACAGACTGAGATTTCTCAGGACAGTATCATGTATGTTAGATGGTGAAAGACCTAAATACTTTGCAACCTTGCATTGAGAAATATGATTTTTTTTTATCATTTGACAATTCTCTTATGAAATTTGGCACAAAGTGATGAGCCATGACCCATGTTTGATCGCAAAGTCTAAATTGCTCCTTTAACCCGATCATGATACCCTATGCTAATAGTGGACTGTTTCAAAAGAGCTTAACTTGGATATTCTTTAATCTTATCACTTTTATTCTGACTCTGTCCCAACTTTTTTTGCAGTGTGTTGCAGCCATCAAAATCAAAAATTGCTTATATTTATAAAACACAATTAATTTAGCCATTGAAAACATTGATTTATTTTTTATTTGTACTTGTTTGTTTTACAAAATGTCCCAACTTTTCTGAATTTGTGGTGACCGAGGTCATTTCCATATCATGCGACAAGTTGATATAGTAATAATCGCGAGTTATTATAGTTAAATCAAATGAAAACAAGAAATATTGCTTTGGCTAAAATAAATAAATATTAAGTTAAAGTAAATGTTCTTATGGTTTTAGTTAATTAAACTATAAGTACTAATACTTGAACTAAAATGAAAATACGAATCCAAAAAAATTAATAAAAACTATTACAGTATCTGAATGCTAACACTATTATTAACAGACTTTCTGGTGTGTTTTGAACCAGTTCAAGTATGAATGCTTACACAACAAGGTTTTCATAATGATATTTAAAAGTCACAAATGTCTGTTGTGAAACTATAACCTTATTCTGCTTCAGCAAAACTCCCCGAAGACAACAGAAAGCCTCAAACACGAGGATGACGCAAAGAAATCCACTGTAAATCAGAGCGAGACGCCCTTTCGCAAACAGCAGACACACTGTATGCCAGCGTCGTCTTTCACAACACACACATCAGGCCATCGGAAAGCAAACAGCGTCTGATGACCATCAGCAGACTGCGTGCACATCATAACCACAGACCCGATGATGACAGACAGACTGTACTGTACTGGAGTGAACTGTACCGTGTGTGTGCTGGAGGAGTGTGTGTGTGCTGGAGGAGTGTGTGTGCTGGAGGAGTGTGTGTGCTGGATGAGTGTGTGTGCTGGAGGAGTGTGTGTGCTGGAGAAGTGTGTGCGCTGGAGGAGTGTGTGTGCTGGAGGAGTGTGTGTGTTCGCAGCGCCTCCTGCTGGTGTGGACGGGTGTTGTGTCTGTACCTGTGTGTGTGCTGGAGGAGTGTGTGTGTTCGCAGCGCCTCCTGCTGGTGTGGACGGGTGTTGTGTCTGTACCTGTGTGTGTGCTGGAGGAGTGTGTGTGTTCGCAGCGCCTCCTGCTGGTGTGGACGGGTGTTGTCTCTGCAGCGTCTCGCCCTTCGCATGCGACAGTCTGTCTCTTAACATCCCAACAGCAACCTAGAGCACACACACACACACACACACACACACACACACAGAGAACACTTAGTACACAGATGAAGCACAAGAAAAGTACTTTCAATGCAAACGGTAGGGTATTCTGAGTGGTTTCTAGGGCTTTTGTGGGTGATTGTCAGTGGTCGTTCAGTGCATTACATTAATGATAAACTAAATAAGCGTTTCTCATAACAAGTATGGGAAGATTGTTCGCTGCATGTTGAGTTTCCAAACGCATGCTAAAGCGAACTCACACTCAGAGCAGATGCAGATGCAGTGTGTGTGGAGCAGCCGTCACTCTTACATTTATGCATTTGCGTAAAAGCGATTTACATTGCATTTCAAGATACACTTTTACATTCTTATCAGTTCTTGCTTTCCCTGGGAATCGAACCCATGACCTTGGCGTTGCAAGCGCCAGCGCTCTACTGTTTGAGCAACACAGGAAAGCTGTAGCTTCTGTATAAAGTTTGAAGTGCTTATATATGTTTATACATGTATATATAAATGTGTGTGTGTGTACCTGGTCGGAGTCGTCGGGCAGATAGTTGAGCGCGGTGTTCAGGCTGCCCTGTGACGCCAGTATACTGGAGTACTGGATGAGCTTCTCCGTCAGCGCTGAGCTCCGCACACACACCTCGCGGTTACGCAGACGCTCGATCGACCTCCGCAGGATCATCACCTTCTCCACCAGATCCTACACACACACACACACACACACACGAGAACACAGACGTCAGGATACAACATCACACACAGACGCAAGTATTCATTACTTCAATGAGCTCATCGTTTCTGCCTTAAATTATTACATTGTTTAAATTAATACATTTTTAGCTAACTGTGATTTTGTATATAACGCTTAACTTAGACAGTTTCCTTTGATAACAGATCTCTCTAAATTATAATGTGAACTCATGCATTTTCTGTAAAGCTGCTTTGAAAACGATCAGAGCGTCCCAATCCGCATACTATCCGTCCTGTTGAAATGAGTATCCAAACATACATGGATGGGTAGTAGAGTATCCGAAGTGCAGATCCATGAACACGCTAACGGCTAATATTGCCCATCGCGCGTTGGACGAGGATTCGATTAGAACTACAAAGTGAAAAGTGTTAAAAACTACAGACATGGAGGACGCGCGAGTCCGGCGGTTATGCAGAGAGGTTTAGATAAACGGGTTTGAGTGATTAATTATCAGTATCTAACCTGACAAATGTATTTATTCAATGTCCACATTATATTGCATCTGCAACAGCATTGTGAACTTCTGCAAGGATATGTTTATAGCCATTTACTTTTCAATGCATCATTATATTCAAATTGCAAACACATGAGGAGAGTCTCCGCACGAAAGACCCACGACTGGCAGATCAACGTGCGACAACATTGGTCGGAAATTAAATTAGATTGAATGGAGGATTTTAACTGTGATGATGATTGACAGGGCCGTTTACGGTGACAGGACGCACATAACTAACCGGCAGAGCCGTCCGTTAAAGATGTTAAAGCTACACTGTGTGATTTTTACCCCCATCTAGCGGTGAAAAGGTATATGACCATACAGCGAATATTAGTTTCTGTTCCTCTCAATTCCGATTTTGTTTTAACTCCTACGGTGGCCAATGTAGTCCAAGATTAACACAGCTTCCAGTTCGACCTCGTCCATGAGTGTTCCTTCAAGTGATGAGGTTATTTTAGAAAACTATTATAATTTGCAGTAATTTAATTTGTCAGGTAACACATAGGTTATGACATCTATGTAAAATGAATAATAGTTTTATGTTTTCGTTATTTTTTTACCATTTCATTGCTAACATCAGTTATCAGGTTCCCAGACGAATGCAAGCTAATCTTAGTAAAGTAACTTTTATCAGTGCTATCGTTATTCTGTATGTTGTACGACATCACTAGCATAAGGCAAAGTTTAAATTGTAGGCTATATTATACTTTCAAAAAGGCTTTCAGGTTTTTATATATCAGTCTCAAGCAATCCCCCTCTTGACATTCGACACGGTGCCATCGAGTGTTAAAACGTGAAAGGCGAAGCTTGAATTAACGGGTATGTCCCTCTTTGGCTAATGTACTTTCAAGATGGAGGGGCAACATGGCGACCGACATTAGAACGCCTTACCCGTATGTATTTTCAATGGCATATTATACACTCACGAGAATACTTTATTACTTGAACGAAGTAAATATACATTAATGAGCACAAATATTTTTGAAAGAACTAAGTGTTTTTAGCTAAGAATAAACTAAAAAAGTTACACAGTGTAGCTTTAAAGATGATGAAGTAGTGTGTCCCAAAGCTTGCCTACTCTTTTGCTACACACTCAAAATTATGAACTTTTTCTTCACAAAACGAGTACATACTTTTAGGATGTAGTATAAGTAGGCGTATTGGGGCGCAGCAGATGTGTATTGTAAAAGGCGCAATACAAATAAATGTGATTTGAATCCTGACGCATATATAAGTGTGTGTGTGTGTGTGATGTGACGTGACCTCGAGCGCGAGCGGAGACGAACAGTCTCTCTGTGACGTCCAGCACTCCACCAGACGCTCGATGTTCCCGGAGCAGATGAAGCACAGACAGGCTTGCAGACGGTGTTTCTCTGAGCCTTCAGCATCCAGACGAGCTCCTAGAGTATCTGAACACACACACACACACACACACACACACACACACACACACACACACACGTCAATCACTCCAAAACAACACACACTCTGATATATGCTTATAGTAATGCAGAAACTTGCTTGTCAACAGTAGCAGACTATTACAGGGAAGGAGATGTGCATATGTTGTGCATGTACAGTATATTTAGGAATATATGTGTGTATGTATTAAAAGGCGAGACACTACAGGTGAATAGGGTATTTTTTTTAACTAGCAGATATCACCATGAAACTTTCCCAGTTGATTACCTACATTAAGATGAGAAAAAAATGTATTACAAGTTTTCTGTAATTTAATGTTTAAATATGCAAATTATGCATTACCTAATTAAATATGCGCTAATTTGCATATATTTCAAAAAATGAAATCTGAGTATTGGATAAAGCCAGGTTTAAAATTATTCAATTATTTAATATTGTGTTCACATATTAGATGGGAAAAAAATTACAGAGGGATTTATGGATATCTACATTTGTTATCCTGTAAATCAGAATATACTGTCAATAGCCTTAAAAAAATGATTTTTGCCATGTTTTTTTGGAATAAAATGTTATATAAATCAGGCTAGGAATAATATATTTACAAATCCCTCTGTAAATGTCTTCATAATATAACTAGTTACAAGACTGGGAGGTTTGGTGTATATAGGTGCTACTGAAGTGGAGATTTCTTTTTTGTTTGCATGAGGAAAATATGGAGGATATTCGGATTGGATTTCTGATAAGTTTATCTGTACTACTCTATATATTTCTACATAATGACCGGGAGCCCTGGATGTGAGACTCCTCTTGGTCATGATCTCACCGCAGAGAGAAGCGAACTCCTCTGGGTTAGCGTAGGTTAGCAGAGCCGCTAACGCCTCCTTCCAGTTCTCCAGCTCACAGCTCTGGACGATATTACACCAGTTCTGCGTCACCACTGACGAGATCAGCTGAGGAGCGACAATCACTGATCAATACTAATATAATCATTATAATTATAAAAAATAAAAAGAAGAATTATTATTATCTTAACCATTAAAATATTATAATAAATAATAATAATGACAACGGCTAATAACACCACCAATAATAATAACCATAACAGCAATAATGATAATAATAATTAAGAGAATAATGAGAAAAAGAATACTGCGAGCAATAACAATTATAATTACTAAAATATTAATATTAATATGAACAAGATGACTAATAACAACAATTATTATCGTTATTATTATTATTATTATCTTATTACTGATAATAGTAGTAATACTCAAAATAATAATGATAATTAAAAAACAAATACAACAGTAATAATAATAATAATAGAATAACAACAATACTAATAGCAATAACAATAATTGTTAAAATATGAATAATTATATGAACAAGATGACTAATAACAATAAAAACAACAATTATTATTATTATTTATCTATCGATATTAGAAATAGTAATACTTAAATTAAAAAAACAACAAAAATAATAATGATAAGAATATTAATAACATTAATAATTGTAATAATGATAAGAATATTAATAACATTAATAATTGTAATAATCATAATTACTAAAATATCAATAATAATATGAACAATATGATTTTAATAATAAGTAATAACAATAATTGTAATAATAAGATAAAGATGACAACTAATAATAACCATAAAACATTATTATTATTATTGACATTATAATAGTAGTAATAATACTCACAATAATAATACAAATAATAAAAATAGCAACTAAACTAATAATGATAAAGATTATAATACTGATGCAAAAAAATTATAAAAATGATGATGCAAATAAATAAATAAATACCAGTTACAGAGGAAAGTGAACTGAAGAAGTTTCCCCAAATGACTAAACCGACGTCATGTATATATGAGCGGTTACCATGGAGACTTATATGAGTGGTTACCATGGAGACATATATGAGCGGTTACCATGGAGACATATATGAGTGGTTACCATGGAGACGCTGTTGGTCTGGTGGGTGAGGTAGCGCTGCTGGGTCTTCTTCAGAAGCTCCTCCCCTCCGCTGATTGACAGCAGGATGGCCTCCGCGAAACGCCCGTCACTCAAGCACAGATCCACGGCGCCCTCGAAGTTCCCCACTAACAGAGCCTGACTGATCAGCCCGTCCGGATCTGCTCACAGCGCGACACACGTGAGCAAAGCACAAACCGTACGCATCAAAATCATTAAGTTATTTCTAGGGCTGCCCACTAATAACCGACTAACCGTTCGTCCACCAACATTGTATTAGTCGTTCAGTCGCAGAAAAAAAACTTGGAAAAAGTGTTGAAATCCCGCAGGACAGATCGTTAAGGCTCATTTATCAACCTCAAATATGGCTTATCAACATGTAAGTAGCAGAACTTTACTTTAAGTTTGCTAATGTTAACCTAGACAAAGTGCGCTATTATCAGGCGTATATCCAAGTGTGTGTGTGGAGGGCGAGTTTACTGTTAATGATGACTCGGCGCCATCACTTAGCATCTTATCTTGTGTCACTGTAAACTTCAATAAATGGACTAAACGTTAATCGATAAGAAGTCGCAGAAGAAAAAAGAACTCGAAAAAGTGGCGAAATCACGCAGGCTGTGACGGACAGATCGTTATCAGCAGGACATCCAAACATTCGTCTATCATTCATCAACCTCAAATATGGCTAATATCACTTGAAACATGCAAGTAGCAGCACTTTACAAGCCGCTCTAATGCTAACAGATAAATGTGTGCTATTATTAGGTACATAAGTGTTTGTGTGAGAGCGTGTTACTGCGTGACACACATCACTGCTAACTCTAAAGGGTCTGTGAACTCATAAAACGTTGTGCTTTTGTAAAATAATGGCGCTTTCTGTGGATTCAGTCTTGAACAGCGCATCACATAACTGAGCCGAAGCTCAGCGTATACTCGCCTCACAGACATGAGAAATATATCTATAGAAAGCTAGAAATTGTTACATTTGAATGAATGAACATAAATATTCTCAGATTATGTAATCCGTATGAAAGGAGCGTATAGGTGGAGATGTCGAGTCAGCGTCGTTGACTTAATCTCTGCAGACGAAAGCACAGAAAATATTACCAATAAATGCATTCTGTTTTTTCACAACACATTCATAATCATTACGTTTGCCGGTGCGCTGTGGCGAGCTTTATGTGTGCATTTGAGCACTGATTAGACTATACGTATTTTATATAGGCAATTAAAAGGCTTAATATATATGGCTTAATATAAGCGCGTGATTAGTCGACTAATGGCTTAAAGCTACTATGCCATTTTTTCGCCACTAGGGGTCGCTAACCTCTTACAATAACAAAAGCATAGGTTGATGACGCATTGAATAAGCGGAATTATGGAACTTGTTGTCATGCCGATGGATCTAATAATGTTTATGGATGAGTGAATATATTTATGTTTCTAACATGACTGTGGGATAAAGCAGGGCGCGATTGCTAATGAGAGACAGATATCAGCGCCACACGCGAGTCCCGCGGATATAAAGGAATAAGGACATTTAATTCTACCGAACTAAACGCAAGTGCTTTATTACTACTAGCTCTCGGCATCTCGAAAACGCCATGCCGATATTGATCCTCGTTTTAATTCTCCTTTTGTCCCAAAGTCTGCTTGCCATGGTCCATAATGTTTAAACGCAACAACAACAGCGTGAGCGCGCCGCTAGACGTCTGTCGCCATGGTTACTACGGTAGGACGAGCGGAAACCAGGGATAACGCGGATATTACGTCATTGACGGGCGACAAGTGAACATGACGAGCCATTATTTAAAATTGGAATATATATCTATAACGGGAAATATATTACACTGTGCAAGTGATTTTGGCATATTTTATGTAATTATTGTAGCTTTAAATGATCGACTACAGAGATCTTCGGTCGAGGGCAGCCCTAGTGATCTCTATGCATGTGATTTGAAGATGCTCGCCTGAGGACACGGGGATCTGGAAGGGCTCTTTGTCTTTGTCTTTCTTTGGTAGTTGATGGAAGAAATCCGCAGGAGACTCGCGGCCTGACGAACCGTCCGCAGACTCGTCTGCTCTCTGAACACACGAGAAACTAAATCATCATGATTCATAATCCAATCCAATAAAACAACGTGTTGAATGAGCGTGTGACTGAATCTGACCTGATCAGAAAGAGTCTGCATCTTCTCCGCCAGATCGTTCACATCTAAACCGTTGGGTTGAAGCTTCCTCGACAAACACGCCGAGATCTGTGCAAATACACAAATGAACACGTGTGGGTCTGTTCCTCTCACAGAGCAAGACTTCAAAATACTTTTTAACCCTCTGGGGTCCTTCGGCCCAAATGGACCCAAAGCATTTAAATTTTTTTTTTTTTTTTTTAAATCATTGCTTTATCGGAATGGTCCGAAATTTGGTGACTTTGTTGGTACTTGGCATATGAACACCCCAAAAAATTGGGGACAGGATTTGAATAGTCTAAGTGGTTGTAAAAAAAATAGTCACACTCAGGACCTTCGGGTCAAAATGGACCCGCATAGGAAATGAATGGGAAATTGGCAAAAATGTGAAAATACAGAGTTATTTTGTGCGTACAAACTACAAATCAGCCACGATCCAGAAAAAAAGCACACAACAGTGAAGGGGTGAATCTATAAAACATCAAGAGTGCAAAACAGACACACACACACACACACACACACACACACACACACACACACACACACACAAACACACTTTTATACACATACACACTAATAAATTCAGATTACATATGGGTTTTGAATTTTTAAAATGCTCAGTTTGTCCACCAGATGGCTCCGATCTCATTTCAAAAATTGCTTTCATGAGGCCTAGGCTTGACTCTAAAATGAAATACAGCTTTAAAAAATATAAAAAAAAATATAAATATTTTTTTTAAATTTCTATTATATTCAATGGGGAAAAAATGGGTCATAATTATTGCATTAATATTAATTATAAATCATTTTTTATTTTTGAAATTATCTCAAAACACCAAAAAAGAAAAGAAAAAATATTATAAAAAACAAGTAAAAAAAAAAAAAAGATGATTTTTTTTTTATAAATATTAATCCCACCCTTCCGGCCCATTTGGACCCGAAGGTCCTGAGTGTGACTCTGAAATGAAGGACCCCAGAGGGTTAATTTAACTTAACCTTTATTTAACCAGGCAAGTCACTTAAAAACAAGTTATTTTCAAGTTATCTCCTGAAGGATATACTAACATATCACAATACACACACACACACACACTCATTTAAAACATTCACACGCTGTGATAAAAACACTCCCTGATAGTTTTTCAAATGCAGAGTCACTGAAAAAAATGCATATAGTGGTAACACTTTACAATAATATTCATTAGTTAAATACATTAGTTAGCATGAACTAATAATGAAAGCATTTATTAATCTTTGTTCATGTACTTTATTAAAATCGTGTTTACATTAGTTAACGCACTGTGAACTAGCATGAACTAACAATGAACAGGTGTATTTTTATTAAGGTTAACAAAGATTAATAAATACAGTAACAAATGTATTGCGCATTGTTAGTTCATGTTAGTTAATACATGAACTAATGTTAACTAATGAACCTTATTGTGAAGTGTTACCCATATAGTTTTACTCCAGGGATTTTCATGATTTTATTTGGGATTTTTCCATGCAAAACACAACGTGAAATAATGAGGTGGGGTAAGACGTGTCAGTGGGTAAACTGTGTCACTTGTCCTGTCTTTAGATCAAAAGTCTCCAAATATGGCATGGTTCACATAGTTTGATGCGGTACCTTCCTCTGCAGCTCGTCTTTACTGAAGCCCAGCAGCCGCAAAAACTTCACTCGCGCTTCATCTTCGAAATTCACCTGTTAAAAACACGACAGAACAATTACGAAAACACTCGAGCATTTCCTGAGAAACTGATATATACATAAATTCTCTTAAGTCCCCATGCATTTAAAAGTTTTTTTTAATTTTTTTTATTAGAAATTAAATTACAAACATACAAGCATCACAGTTTGTAAACAAATATTATAAAACGAACAATAAATAAAATACAAGAATGAAATTAATGAATAAAAAAATGTAAAATTAAAATGGACAGACTTACAATCTTCATTTATAAAAATATATATATATTTTCTATTGAAAAATTTTGAGTATATTCCAGTTACTGACATAGCTTTCTTATTTTTAACCCATTTAAGAGACTCATATATCAGTTTCAATTTATGCATTTAAAACAGTCTCCATTTACCGCCAGTACTCATGACATCATTCTGTCTGATTTTCTGTCCAATCAAATCCTCTCAAGAATCTGAAGCATCCCACCGCAAACATTAGGGTTTCACGCTTAATCGGATTAAAAAAGAAACTGCAATATGGTTTAGTGCGATTTAATAAAATAAATATATCCGTGTTTCGGAGTGAAGCGTCACTGTTTCCAGCATCTCAACGTGATTACGTAACGTGTGTCGCATCACTGCTAGTGCAAGACGAGCATTTGTGGTTAAAAAGTATATAAATGTTTATTTCGTTATAAAATAACGGATGGTTTGTCTAAATAAGACTCTTATTTCTCGGCTGGGATCGTGTCGAAACTTTGAAGCTGTTGGACCCCATTGAAGTCACTCTATGGAGGAAAACCTTGAAATGTTTTCCTCAAAAACCTTAATTATTTTTCTAACTGAATAAAGACAGACATGAACATCTTGCATCATGTTGGGGTGAGTAAATCATCAGGATATTTTAATTGTGAAGTGAACTGATCCTTTAAGGCAGTGTTTCCCAGAATAAAACAGGGCTGGAATGGCATTAGGATTTAGCATGTTCTGCATGTGTAAATGTTTACTATCAGGAACCTCCACAAGCTCTACAAACAAGGACATCAATTTTTTTACATCCCATTTTAAAATCACAAACACAATTTTTATCAGAAAAATCCAATTTAGATTTAACCAACATTATAAAAATGTCCTAAATTGGGCCCTTGTTCACCCATTATATGAAATAGTAATGGCAAACAGTGCAATTATATATGCAATATGAAGCAATTTAAGGCTGCGTTTACTATGCTTTTCATTGAGTTTTATGGCATCTTTTTTTGTGTTTCACAGAATAAAACAGGGCTGGAATGGCATTAGGATTTAGCATGTTCTGCATGTGTAAATGTTTACCATGAGGAACCTCCATATGTCCTGCTCGGCGTCAGACGGGGCGCTCGTGATCTTACTGTGGCAGTAGTTGGTGAAGGAGCCAGACTGCAGAACGGCCTGGAGCTCGCTGGAGCGCTGGAGGAACTCGGTCTCTGTGGTCACCTGACTCACCTGTACCTGTCGAGGCTGACCCGGCACTGAAGGGTTCTCAAACGTCACCAGCTTCCCACCGAACTGGAAGAGAGTGACGGTGTGTCGTCCATCTTTTTATTACAGTCTATGAGTCAGACTAACACGAATCTTGAAATATAATGGATGTCTCAATATCCCTGAAATACTCACAGCGAAAGAGGCGCCGACAGGCCTTCGCACCCACTTGGGTGGCTTAGTTAGCGGAGGGATGATGGTGGTCTCCACTGTGGGTTGAGGCATTAGCAGAGGCGGAAGAGCTTGACCGGTTCCAAACGGGTCGTTGGTGTCAAACGAAGCCGAGATCTAAGAACAGAGAGAGAGAGAGGAGAGACTGATGATTAAAGGGAGAGTTCACCCAAAAATGAAAATTAGCCCATGAGTTACTCACCCTGAAGTCATCCTAGGTGTATATGACATTCTTCTTTCAGACGAATACAATCAGAGTTATATTCAAAAATGTCCTGCTCTTCCAAGCTTTATAATGGGAGTGAATGGGTATATTTTTTTGGAAGTCCATCAAGCGCATCTATCCATGATAAAAGTGCATCTATCCATGATAAAAGTGCATCTATCCATGATAAAAGTGCATCTATCAATCATAAAAGTGCATCTATCCATGATAAAAGTGCATCTATCCATGATAAAAGTGCATCTATCCATGATAAAAGTGCATCTGTCCATCATAAAAGTGCATCTGTCCATCATAAAAGTGCATCTATCCATGATAAAAGTGCATCTATCCATGATAAAAGTGCATCTGTCCATCATAAAAGTGCATCTGTCCATCATAAAAGTGCATCTAGCCTATCCATCATAAAAGTGCATCTAGCCTATCCATCATAAAAGTGCATCTAGCCTATCCATCATAAAAGTGCATCTGTCCATCATAAAAGTGCATCTATCCATGATAAAAGTGCATCTATCCATCATAAAAGTGCATCTGTCCATCATAAAAGTGCATCTATCCATCATAAAAGTGCATCTATCCATGATAAAAGTGCATCTGTCCATCATAAAAGTGCATCTATCTATCATAAAAGTGCATCTGTCCATCATAAAAGTGCATCTGTCCATCATAAAAGTGCATCTATCCATCATAAAAGTGCATCTGTCCATCATAAAAGTGCATCTGTCCATGATAAAAGTGCATCTGTCCATGATAAAAGTGCATCTGTCCATGATAAAAGTGCATCTGTCCATGATAAAAGTGCATCTGTCCATGATAAAAGTGCATCTGTCCATGATAAAAGTGCATCTGTCCATGATAAAAGTGCATCTGTCCATGATAAAAGTGCATCTGTCCATGATAAAAGTGCATCTATCCATCATAAAAGTGCATCTGTCCATCATAAAAGTGCATCTGTCCATGATAAAAGTGCATCTGTCCATGATAAAAGTGCATCTGTCCATGATAAAAGTGCATCTGTCCATGATAAAAGTGCATCTGTCCATGATAAAAGTGCATCTGTCCATGATAAAAGTGCATCTGTCCATGATAAAAGTGCATCTGTCCATGATAAAAGTGCATCTGTCCATGATAAAAGTGCATCTGTCCATGATAAAAGTGCATCTGTCCATGATAAAAGTGCATCTGTCCATGATAAAAGTGCATCTATCCATCATAAAAGTGCATCTGTCCATCATAAAAGTGCATCTGTCCATGATAAAAGTGCATCTGTCCATGATAAAAGTGCATCTGTCCATCATAAAAGTGCATCTATCCATCATAAAAGTGCACTTTTATCATGGATAGATGCACTTGATGGACTTCCAAAAAAATATACCCATTGACTGCCATTATAAAGCTTGGAAGAGCAGGACATTTTTGAATATAACTCTTCATTCGTCTGAAAGAAGAATGTCATACACACCTAGGATGACTTCAGGGTGAGTAACTCATGGGCTGGGAAAGAGTGTGTAAAACACACACGTAATCGCACCTGGTCCACCGTGCTGTGCTGATGCTGTTGAAGACGCCCCCCCATAACTGAGTACACACTGATCCGCCCGTCAAATGATGCAGCGGACAGGAGGGCGGGGTTACGCGGACACCACTGCACATCGAAGCACCACTGATTGGCTGTTGGCAGCTCGTAAATCACCTGAAACACGAGAGACAAGGCATGATGGTCAATAGATGTGGAGAGTGATCCAGAGATCCCACACTAATGGATTTCCATGATTTTATTAATTACTAATTCTGGTAAACAGTTTTGACAAAATAAACATTCAATGGATTAACATTTGAAAATGAAGAAATTAACACAGCCATACATATTAGTATTGTAATGCAATAGTAAAATAAAATTATTATTATATTATTGTTCTTAAATACTTTTAAAGAAGTAATATTTCTTAATTAGTTTTTATTTAGTACTTGTAATATTTTATTTAGTAATAATAATAATTATTATTTCATAGCCATACAGATAAAATATTATTATTTATTATATAATTTAACAATAATAACAACATTTATATTTTAATATATGTTCTATATAATTAAAACGTATCATTATTGTTGGTATAATTTCACAGATATATTTAATTTTGTAATATTTTTAAACTGTGATCAGTTTTAAGATTCATATTTTGTTTGTTCATACTGTCTGTGAAAATTAAATGTTTGAAAGTAGATTAAATTCAGAGGCATAAATATTAATATTGTAATTTTTACAGTTGTAATGTAAAATAATTATATTATTTTTCTTAATTTGTTTTTATTTAGTAATAATAATAATAATGATAATCATTATTATTTCATAACCATACTGATAACAGATTATTTAATAAAATAAATTTTATTATACATTATATATAATATAAAACGTATTATTATTGCTAGAATAATTTCACAGATCCATTTAATTTTGTAATATTTTAAACTGTGATCTGTTTTAAGGTTCATATTTTGTTTGTTCATACCGTGTCTGTAAAAATAAAATGTTAATAGATACAAAATAGATCAAAATATTTATCACACAGAAATGACACAGTAGTGACCTCTAGAGGTAGAGCACGATGCAAGCAACGCCAAAGTCATGGGTTCGATCCTCAGGGGATGCATGAACTGATCATGAATGCAAGGCAAGTCATTTATGATAGAAGTGCATGGACGTAAATGTGAATGATTGACGGACCTCTCCGGTGTTCGGGTTCCAGCACAGGATCCGGTTGTCTTTGCCGCTGCTCAGCAGAAGCTCTGGATCGGCTTGACTCCATGAGATGGACAGAATGCCTCTGGAATATTAAAAGGCCGTCACACGTGTGCAGGAGCATGAAAGCAGCTCAGAGAGACGTGGGTTTTAGAGAAGCGAGTCTCTACCTGGTGTGGTTCTCCAGGACTTTGAGTGGCGAGGTCGCGAACCGCAGGTCCCACATCTGTATCACGGGAAGCCTGTCGTCCTCGGATGCCAGAACCAGCTGAGTGGCCACATCTGGATGCCACAACATCCCAGAACAGTGCATCTGACAAAAAAAATAATACATTTTATATTTATAATGCGTTTTTCTTATACCCAAAGCGCCACAACAAGTGCAGTACAAAAGTACATCCGTAGAAGAAAATTGAGAAAACCAAAATGCAACAACAGGTAGAGTACAATATACATCCAGTGTCTCCAATTAAGACATAAACACTATCTTAAAAAGATGGGTTTCTTAAAGGGATACTTCAGGATTTAGCATTAAGCTTTGTATTAGTAGAAAACCTGTAGTATTATCGAATTACCGTGCTTTCCACCCTCATATCCCCCTGAGACGAGAGATTTATGTATTTTTTGTGACGCAAAAATCGTCATTTTGCGTCATCGGAGGATTTTTTGTCCAGAGGCTAAAGACTACAGTCAGTAGTAGGGGCTGTCCCGCATGTTCTCAACCCGCCCATAGAGGCTGGGATCTCACTCACAGAATGTACACATAGTGTCAGACATCTTTGTTTGGAAGCTAAGCTAGCAGGCTCTTGTTCTGTGGAGAAAGCGGAGTAGTCCTCTTTTTCCCGGACATGTCCAGCCGTCGATGTCCGGGATTCTGCAGTCGCCATTCATTGTTTACATGCACACCTTTTGTTTCAATCTAACTGAATTCATTCCGATTGGTGAATCTGAATGTAGTGTTTACATGAACGCTAAACAAGTGATCGGTTGATGTGCGTTTTAACATTGCTAAGAAAGTTCCCGCTCCTCTGTGAGAGATACGAGACCGGTGCGTCTCACACATGCGTCAATCCCAGACATTATGGGCGATCTCGAAATCCCGGGCAGATTCATCACGGAGACTCACTAGCCTAGACTTGTTGTTTAACTACTGCGCTCTGTTACTGGTAGGCGTGGCCTCCTAGGGCAGCGAAGCAAGTGCATTCTGGGAGTTGTTGTCTTTCATCCACATAAGCCAAAAACACATTTTCTGGCTTTTCTCAGTCTAGAAAACTCCAAAAACAAAAATAATTTCACATTTCTTCTACATAAATGACCCATTTTAAATACACATTCATCTTTCCAGAGGTGAAGTATCCCTTTAAAGGGGTCCTATAATGGCCTTTTCACAAGATGTTAAATAAGTCTATGATGTCCCTAGTGTGTGTGTGTGTGTGTTAAGTTTTAGCTCTAAATACCCCACTGATATTTTTTTATATAGCATGATAAAATTGTCACTTTACGAGAGTAAGCAAAAACGCACCGTTTTTTTGTGTCTGTCCCTTTAAATGCAAATGAGCTGCACAGTGGGCGGAGCTACAAGAGCCTGTGTCCTTAAAATTTCTAAAACTTTTAGCCTTTTCATGTTCAAACCAGTTGGGCAATGATGGAAAGACTCAAGAAGAAGTGACAACATGTACACAACATTTCTGAATGGTTAGTTGATGAATTTATGTAGCTTATGTGTAGTTATCTTCTAGTCATTGATTAGCATATTCTGTCATAAATATAAATTGTGTTCCTGGGGGCGGGGCTTATGTAAATTTGAGGGTTTGTGATGTCACTAACGCGGGAGGAAGCTCGTACCAGCCGTGTGTTGTAGTCCTTAAAACGCAATTTCTGTAAAAGCAAATATCTCCCTTTGCTTTGAACTTAGAGCGTCGGGACTTTGCAGATGTTGTTTATGCTCAAACAGCAACACTACACACTAACTAAAGTTAGAAAAGTGAAATCATGATCAACCACCCCTTTAAAACTAGCTAATGTTGGGGCATTCCTAACAGTTAAAGGAAGTGCACATCCTTTATCGCATCAAAAATAAAAGTTTGTGTTTACATAATATATGTGTGTGTACTGTGTATAGTTATTTTGTATATGTAAATACACATACATGCATGTATATATTTATTTTTTACTCAATTCTCAGTCAGAGGCTCGTCCAAGCGTTCAGATGTTCTTACCCTGTTGCTGTGGTCACTGATTTTGATGATGGGCTCGTTCTTCCTCAGATCCCAGACCACGGCTTTCCCACTGGGATTGGCGGATGCCAGTATATGCGGCACTTGACTGTTCCACGCCACAACGCTCACGTCCTCCGCTGGCTACGACATGCACAAGCACACGGATAAAACCACCGCAATGTCTGTAACTTTCCCACAAACCACCAGCTGAAGATGAGCATCCAAACCAACAAACCCCAGCAAAGACACGCTACTTTCTGAACACTCAGCAGACGAATTGTGTCAGAATTGTTTTTTTTTAAGGCAGTAAACCATTGTTTAGTGTCAGTAAGTGCCCCTATTATGCTATTTTAAAGGCTTCTAATGTTGTTTTAGAGTCTCCTGCAATAGTTTTACATGCATACAATGTCAAAAACACTTCCTCATAATCTCCACTGCAGCTTCAGCTCTTTCCTCTCAGTGTCTGAAACGCTTCCATCGAGGATTCAGTCTCTCTAAGCTCCGCCTCTCTGAGAGCTGCTCTGCTCTGATTGGTCAGAAAGCAAACGCTCATTATCATATCTGAATCTCAGCTCTTGATCACAGTGATACGAACAGTGACGATGGCGTGGGTTTCACCGTCTCAATCTCAGAAAACAGCGTCTCCTCGACACGAGCAACACGAGCCGAACTCTTCCAGTCTCAGATACACTACAGTGTTTGAGGGCGGAGCTTAGAGACGCTGTTCAGCCAATCAGGACCACAGGCTGGCATTATGCAAATGAGTTACACATCTACGCAAGTTTGATCAAGGTTTGATTGGGAAGTGAGACTGGAATTACTGACGACTCGTTTCAGGCAGTTCAGAATCACTTCTTTCTTTTAGGAGACAAAAACTTTGAACCTTATACATTCACAAACAACTTTATTACACACTAAATGAAAGGTCATATCTGAAAAAGCATAATAGGGGCACAAAGAGATGCTAGAGAAGAGGTTAATCAAACCCAAACCGCACACACACACACACACACACACACACCCTCCCCAGCACCTTCATCTTACCTCACTGAGCTGAAGGAACAGAGAGACAAATGCATTCACTTAACCATCAAATGATACAACGAACACTGATAACACAAAACGCTTCAAAGAATCAAGAACAATGGTTCGCACCTGTGACTTGGTGCCCGGTGTCATCGGATTACTGAAGTTGTTCAAATCCCAGATGTATATTTCCGAATCATTGGCTCCTGATGCGATGAGATTACTCTGACAGAGGGGGAAAAACACATGAGCGTTTGCGAACGCGACACCACACTGCAAAAACTGCTTTTCTTACGCAGTATTTTTGTCTTGTTTCCAGTCCAAATATCACAAAAATATTAAATCAAGATGCATTTACTTAAGTAAAAAAACGCCATAAGATATTATGTCTTGTTTTCTGGGGAAATAATAAAAAATTAAGTGAGTTGTTGCTTAAAAAAAGCTAAATTATAATAATTGTTTACCAACCCCCCCGGAAACAAGCATTTTTCGTAAATTTTTTAGATATTTGGACTGGAAACAACAATTTTTTGCAGATTTTTTTAGCTATTTGGACTGGAAACAAGCATTTTTTGACATTTGGACTGGAAACAAGCATTTTTTTGCTGAATTTTTAGATATTTGGACTGGAAACAAGCATTTTTTGCTGATTTTTTTGATATTTGGACTGGAAACAACAATTTTTTGCTGATTTTATTAGCTATTTGGACTGGAAACAAGCATTTTTTGACATTTGGACTGGAAACAAGCATTTGTTGCTGAATTTTTAGATATATGGACTTGAAACAAGCATTTTTTTGCTGAATTTTTAGATATTTGGACTGGAAACAAGCATTTTTTGCTGATTTTTTTAGCTATTTGGACTGGAAACAAGCATTTTTTGACATTTGGACTGGAAACAAGCATTTGTTGCTGAATTTTTAGATATTTGGACTTGAAACAAGCATCTGTTGCAGAATTTTTAGATATTTGGACTGAAAACAAGCATTTTTTGCAGAATTTTTTTATATTTGGACTGGAAACAAGCATTTTTTGCTGATTTTTTTTAGCTATTTGGACTGGAAACAAGCATTTGTTGCTGAATTTTTAGATATTTGGACTTGAAACAAGCATTTGTTGTTGAATTTTTAGATATTTGGACTGTAAACAAGCATTTTTTGCAGTGCAGATGCGAGTGGATCTGAAACGAGACGCGAGCTCCACCTGGAAGCGGTTGTAGTCGAGGGCGTGCACGGGCCCTGTGTGTTTGTTGGACTGTCCGATCACGGCGTCTTCGGCCGCGGAGAGAATAGCGTCCGGGCCGAAGACGGTCACGCTTCCGTTCTCACTGCCTCCGATGAGCCGCCCCGATGAACCCGCCGTCACGTCCATATCAAACGCCACCCAGATCAGACTGTGAAACCTGCCAACACACACACACTGAGATCATCACAAATACACACACACCAGGACACTTTACACACATGTGACCCTGGATCACAAAACTAATCACAAGTCGCACGGGTGTATCTGTGGCAATAGACAACAATACATTGTATGGGTCAAAATTATCGATTTTTCTTTTATGCCAAAAATCATTAGGATATTAAGTAAAGATCATGTTCCATGAAGATATTTAGTAAATTTCCTACCGTAAATATATACAATGCATTTTCTGTAAAGCTGTTTTGAAACGATGTGTATTGTGAAAGGCGCTATACAAATAAATGTCAATTGAATAGCTATAATCAAAGAATAAGTCAGCTTTATACAATACAGATTGTTTCAAACCAGCTTTACAGTGATAAAAGGAAAATAACAGAATCAATGATGCAAACATCTGCTGTAAAAAGTGTCATTATTCAGATCAGTGTTGATTCAGTTCAGTCCAATAACTATAAAGTTGAGTTGAAATGAGTTCAATTCATGCAACTCTACAGAAGACAATAGTGCCGTCACTGAGGAATAAATACACAAATCCCAAGTTCTTTCGATATGCTAAATAAAGTATTATCCAGTATAATATTAACAAAGCATTTGCATTTATGCTCATGCATTAAATGCAGCAAATGTCTCAAAATTGTGACTTTAGCATTTTGTGCACAATGAGCTAGTTGAAAATGAGTGATAACGAACTTCATTTAGTCAAAGGTTGCAACCCTGACACCCATTTTGAAGTATATTTTAATATTCAGTGACCTCGTTTTTGTGCAAAGCGAAATATGAATATATAGAGTGATTTAACTCTTTAAAAAAGCTGCAGTGAATCTGACAACTGCATGAACACAAAACCTGAGAAACTGGAAATGCCATTTTAACAACATGCCTTTGTGAGAAAATGTGGCAATCTGAAAAGGTCAAACTGATCAGAGAGAGTGACACACACCATAGACGTGTCAGAAACATGTTCACACAAGCGTGTGTGTGTGTGTTAGATCATGCCGAACGCAGAATGACGACACTCTAAAATAATGCTGCTGTTAAACCTGTATTTCTGCTAATGAATCGTTGCTGGGGAAGAAAGTTAACAACATAAACAAATTAGTTTCAAAGTAATGCACATCAACAAAAGAAGCGAGAGTAAATCAACAAACTGTTGTAAAATCATCACTTTCTTTCAAAATCAAGTATTGGCTTATAAATGTTCTCGGTTCAGTATAGAGAGCGATTGTAAGCCTTCTAAACACACCCAGTCACTAAAACTAAACTAGCTAAATTACAGCTTTTAAAAGAAAATGTGAGACATGTTACTAGGGTGTGAGGTTATTATGCATTTTCAATTTAATTTTATGTAAAAAAACAAAAAACTCCTCAAAGTTTTGCTGTTTAAAAAAGTAAAGATGTTAAAACTTCCAGCTGATTTAAGTTGTAAGTCATACAGGTATTCTAGTATGCATTCAGAAAGTATATATATATATATACATATACACTAATACTTAAAAGTTTGGGTCAATATATTTTAACTTTTTTTTAAAAGAAATAAATATTTTATTCAGCAAAGGATGCATTATATTGATCAAAAGTGACAGTAAAGACATTTATAATGTTACAAAAGATGCTGTTCTTTTATGAATAAAAATAAACTTGAGGATATCTGAACTGTTTTCAACACTGATAATAATCATAAATGTTTCTTGAGCATCAAATCATCATATTAGAGTGATTTCTGAAGGATCATGTGACTCAGAAGACTGGAGTAATGATGCTGAAAATTCAGCTTTGATCACAGGAATAAATTACACTTTACTGTATATTCACATAGAAAACAGCTAATTTTTACAGTATTTTTGATCTTGGAGCAGCAGAAGAAAACATTAAAACATGTTGCCGACCCCAAACTTCTGAGCGCTAGTGCACAGAAACACACCTGTTGGAGGTGGGCAGAGTTCCTCTGAGCTTCATGTCCATGGACGTATCAGCAAAATCCATCTCGAAGATCTCCAGAACGGAGCTGGTGTTGAAAGACGCGTCTAACTGCTGCGCTGCGGTGCCTGGGGATATGAAAAAGTGAAGAAACTGAGATTATTATTCAAGCATTTTTAGTGAAACTCGGTGTCATCCACTGCTGTACACTGGCTGACAGGTGGAAACACACACATATACACCTGTATACCTAAGGCCAGGTATGTGGGATGCTGTCTCGCAGGACTCCATGCCTGAGAGGCCGTCCTGAGGATCTCCTTCACCCTCATCTTCCTCCAAACTCCTGAAAGGACAAGAAGAACATGGTGTGATTTACCTGTCAGCACTTAAATGACATTCCTCTGCACTAACAATGCCATATCAGCCTAAAGAACCTGTAAAAGTGACTTAATATTATGTCAGATAACAGTACTATCACATTTCCGCAATAATCCTCAAAGAAATCACAAACAGACTCGGGTATGAGTGTGTGACAGCCTACAGCATATATTATTTCTCAGACTCAAATGATCTGTAATCTCAGCTTCTTTTGTCATCCTTTTAAAGTATATGTGTAATAAATGCCGCGTGGAGTTCATTTAGAGCAGAAGTATATGTTTATAATCACGTTTATTCCTGATCAGCTGCTCTTAGCGTTAGCATTAGCATCAACCTGCCGTTCACTATCTGCGCTTCAAAACACACTGACACACCGGTCAGACCACAATCACACACAATAAAACATCAGAATCTCGAGTTTGTCCTAAAAACGCCAAATTATGCTAAGTGCTGTCTGTGTACTTACGGTTGTTGGTGATTAATAGTCTCGTTTGTGTTGATGAGAGTTCAGTCAGCGGCGCTCCTCGCGACACTCATGGGGAATGTAGTCCGGTGCGGAATTGTAGTCCAGTACGGCAACCGGCGAGGGACTGTACGAAACGATTAAAACTCAAACCCCGGACTCGGTTTATCTTTCTACTCAAGCCAACATTTCAAAATGAATAAACAAATAACATTTTAATAAATAAATAAGGCCAATACCACCCATCCAAAATGTTTATTACATATTTAATATTTGAGAGATTGTATCTCCAAATCTAGAGCAAAAAGTAAAAAAGCCAGCTAACCTTGAATTATACACAACTATATTGATTTGAAGTTTTATGGTGTTTAACACTTAATGTTGTTCTTACGGCATTTTATTTTGACATACTTTACTGCCATAAGGTAAATAAAAGCTATTGAAAATAAAATGAATAAAAGAAATATGAAATGAATGCATTCATCTGGCACAGATCATAAAAAATAAAAATTGATCTCATTTGTCATGAGTCTCATTTGAATGAAAAGTAGAAGCATTATAAGAACTGACAAGCTTTCGGTTTAAGTTAACTTTATTAGAGAGACAGAAATATACACAAGTTATGGAACAGACAGGCTTCTAGCATTAGATTTCATAATGATTGACAGGTTCTGGTTGTTTCTCCGGGTCTCCACCTCTCTCCAGATACAGGTTGTTGTAAGGATACTGTTTAGGTGCCTGGAAAGAGAAAGACGATTATTCATAAGATTTGTGGAAAGCTTTGTTTTTTCACCGTTTTTTTCAGGCAGAATGATGATCCACAATTCATTTTCATGTTGTTTTTAAAGACTATTTGGCAAGTGAATAATTACTAATTACCCTATTTAAAAAAAAAAAAAAAAAACCTCTACAAAGTGATGGAATGACAGACTATTCCAGTAAGCTCTGTACATGCAACTGAGAAATCAGAGAATATAACTTTAGCCACATCTAACAAATGATCTTTATCTAAAGCGACTGACATTGCATTCGTGTTTTTCACTTAATCAGTTGCCTGAGAATCGAACCCATGACATTGCTGTTGCTAGCGCAATGATTTTGTGCAACAGGAAAGGCTGTGTGTAATTACTTGCAAACAAAGCTGCAAAATTAATGAACGTCTCTAAACATGTTTGCGCTGCTAAAACAGTTTGCAATTGCGTTTGGTGCCACTAGTGGTGCAGGAACAACACACTTCCCTTTATTTTAGGGCTGTGAAACGATTAATCGCATCCAAAATAAAAGTTTGTGTTTACATAATATATGTGTGTGTGCTGTGTATAATTATTTTGTATATATAAAAACACACACACGTATATATTTAAGAACTATTTGCATGTATATACTGTATGTATATATATATATTTTTTTTTCCTTTCTAAATGTCAATCATTTGTTAAACAAGTATTCATTACCTCAATTACCTCATTGTTTCTGCATTAAATTATTACATTGTGTAAATTACTATCTTTTTCGCTAAACTGTGATTTTGTTACCTTAACAAAACTTAGTTCCCTCTAAATTGTGAAATACATAAATTTTAATGTGGACTAATGCATTTTCTGTAAAGCTGCTTTGAAACGATGTGTATTGTGAAAAGCCCTTTACACATAAATGTGAATTGAATTTATATTATATATAAATCTTGTATAAATAACACATTTTTCTTAAATATATACATGCATGTGCATGTATTTATATCTACAAAATAATTATACACACATATATATAATGTATGTAAACACAAACCTTTATTTTGGATGCGATTAATCGTTTCACAGCCCTACTTTATGTAAATTGCTCATTGTTGTCCCTCTACTCACCACAGGCTGGTAGAAGGGGAACATCTCGCCCAAGCCGAACATCAGGCCCATGAAGCCCAGGAAGCCCAGCAGGGTGTTACGCATGGTCCTCCAGTCCACCGGGCTCGGAGACGTGTCAACCCTGTTCCTGATGTACATGTCAAAGTCATAGTGCATCTGCAACACAAACAGAAAACCTCACAAAACAGCCACTAATCTGAGAAAGCCAATGAGACGTGGACAATTTCAAAGACAATGCATTAACATTCTCCATTATAAATCTTTATTATACTTGATACATTCAATCGGACACTTGATATATATGCATTTAAACATCGTAAAGGGATTGTTCACCCAAAAATGACATTTCTGGAATATTCTTTTCTGGGAAATAATTTTAAAAAATGAAATTACTCACCCTGATGTTCTGACCCTCCATAGGCAGCAACGTCATTATTAATGTTATAAAGTGACTAGAATATTTTTTATGTGCAAAAACCCCCTAAAATAAAGATTTTATTCAACATTTAAAGGTTGAACCACTGTAGTCACATGGACTATTTTAACAATGTCGTTACTAATTTTCTGGGCCTTGAAAGTTGCAATGACGTTGCTGCCTATGTGGGGTCAGAAACCTCTCGGATTTCATCAAAAATATCTTCATTTGCGTTACGAAGATGATTTATGGAGCTCATGGGCTTGAAACGACTTGAGCGCGAGTAATTAATGACAGAAATTTCATTTTTGGGTGAACTAACCCCAGGGTTCTCAAGTCTCACGCATTGGCCGTGAGACACACGCAATTCAACCAGTTCACACGCTCACACGCCACACTGTGTATATCTCACGCTGAAAAGGCAATGCCAACCAAGTTGTCCTGCAAGCTTTATATATAACGTTGTATACGAGGCGCATGCACACAAAGATAAGTTTCCTGCCGCCAGCGCGTCCGCATCTCGGCCAGATTGCGTTCGTTACTATAGGCAACTTATAGACGCGCGAAGTCCGCGAACACACACGGAAGTTCGGCCACCGCGACATCGCGCGAACACACGTCGTGATGGAGAAAGTAATTTGGAAGAAAGCTCGCCTAACATTTTTAGACTAGAACATTTAATATATAGCCCACCGTATACATTATTGATGCAGTCAAAAACTCTACAACTGCTTTGCAACCAGGCCAAAAGCTTTGGCTCGGTTTGGCTAAGGAAATGTTATTGGGTATGGGAAGGAATGAAGATGTATTTCTTCAGTTTATTTTAAATTCTATATTATACTGTATTAATAGTATTTCTAGTTACATTAAGGCTAAAGCAGAGTGCTCTTGATAATATTGTATATCCTGTCAAAACATACATTAGCCTAATCATTGCCATTGCATTTGTATTTTTCAAAGATGTCAGGGAAAAATGCAAAAATATTTGTTTTTCCAAACATTTTGGAGCAATTTGTTATATATTTGTAGCCTAATTTTGAAATATAACATTAAAGAGTAGGCCTATATTTGATGTGATGAATTGCTCTGTCATTTATCAGATTTACCAATTGTTATAATTTCAATTTTTGCTGGTTAATTATGAACAATGGGTAAAATTGGGGGCGGGGATAGGCGGGGGCGGGGCTCCATTTAGGCTCCTCCCCTAACCGCATGTGATCTCACTCCAAGCTTTTAATAAAACTTGAGAACCCTGTAACCCTTTAATATCAAAATTGAGCAATAAGCTGCAATTTTAATGTTTTATGCTACCGTACAAAAATGGTTCTAGATCTAAATTTGTTTGAGCACTTCAGTTATTACATCTCACATTTTAAAGGCTCAGAAATACTACATATTTATACAAATAGTCAGCAAGATAGCAAAACTGCATGCTGCTTTAAAGATTATATGCTGTCGTTCTTCTCTGCTTCAAAAAGCATGCAATGCAATGAAAGAGTGTGCATGCTGGAGTGTGCACAGTGGTGCAAAATGTTTTCGTGAAGGTAATACCCAATGCATGTGTGCAATGATGTCACTTCCATGAACCAGGATTTATATGGATTCTTACCGGCTCTCCCCAGTTCCTCCTCAGATCAGGATGGTCCCACTGATACCAGGGGTCTCTCTCATGCTGCGATCGGTCCGGCAGCATCGGGTAATCACCAAGCCTGCGCAACAACAGTGCAAACATATTTAAATACATCACCAGCTATTCAACATTTAGGTAGGAAAACACATTATTCATTGCAAGTGTGTGAACAGTAGACTGATACTCGCCCCTGGCCGTCATCAGGAAAGGGCTGGTAATCTTCCAGCGTCATGTTGTATTTCTTGGCCGCTGCCGCTCTCTCTTCTGGGGTTTTGGGGTACGGGCCGGGCAGCATGTCCTTCGAACCACCAGAGGCTGCAAAAACACAACATAAAACATTATAATGATTCCACATAAAGTACAATACTTCATTTATAGTACCTGTGTTCTCCAGACAACCTTAGTCAGATTAAAATGCATTTTAAATGTAGACATGTTATTATGCATTATCTAGTTTAATGAATTCATTAAATCTGCAATATGAAGAAAACTACATCCTATAACAAAGTTGGACATTTAGTAGAAACACATTTGTTAAAAAGACACTTAGTTTATAATGCACTTAAAACAAATCAATAATTAATCCAAATGCAAAGCAGTTAACAATGAACTACATTTGTTTACAAACACGTAAAAGTAGTATCATGGATTCGGTTAGCCTGTTAGCTCACCGGCCTTGAAATGAAGGTTATCATCTTTTTATCCTATAAAACACTGTTTTTATAGCTTATATTCGCATAATAAGGGGGTGGCGTATGTATAAGACAGCACCTGCTCTTGTTCCGAGGAAAATTTCAGAGATTCTCGGTGTTTTTCCTTTAATAAGAGGTCGGGTTAGGAGACCCGCTCTGAGGGCCGCCATCTTGCCGCTCTGACACTCCACACTGCGCATGCGCGAACTGCTGTCAATGATTCTGCGCAGAGGACACGCCTCAATGACACTGCAGCAGAAAGCGATGACAAATTATGTCATAAATGTTTATAAAAAAATTGACATTGTTTTGTATGAATGTGAAGGCAAAGTGCTTTAAGAGTCACCAGTCTCATGATATAATTTCATATATATGATATCCAACACTTGATCCATTAATACTAACACTTTATCTTCTATTCTATATATATTATCTTTATAAAAAAACTGGAAAGGGTCATAGCACTTGCATATTGTTGTCCTTTTGTTAGTTGAACTCTCATTTGTAAGTCGCTTTGGATGAAAGCGTCAGCTAAATGAATAAATGTAAATGTGAATATGATATAAAGTTACTCGTTCTAAATTTACGAATATTAAATAAGTATGGTGTCGTTCATACATTATTAATTTGTTTGCTCATTCCTGGGAAGATACTACATTTTATATTCTCTCTCAAAGCAGCACTTCTACAGGACATCCACACGATGGCAACATTGTTACAATAACTATTTTTCTTATTGGTATATTTTTTATTTGATCGTGAATAATTAAATTATTTTACAAATATATTTAGTAAATTATGTAATTCATTTTCAAGGCATATTATATTAAAACATTACAGTGATTTCACTTCATTAGCTGCATGTTTATGATTATATTAGCTCATTATATTACCAGAATTTTTTTTTTTACTGGAATATTTTACTTGAATGTAACGAAAGCTTTAAACGTTTAGATCTTAAAAACGGAACACACGACGTCTCTTAAACATTCCTTCTCACGTCAGAACTACATTTCCCAGAATGCCCTGCTGCCCCAGCCGCGCGTCACCGGCATTCAGCGGAGCATCTCGAGCGACGAACAGAACGCGCAAATAATGATTTCTGGCGTTTTCATCGCATATTGGTGATGGTTACACAGCGAAGAGGAATCGTTCACTATGGCCCGTGCCGTGGAATATTTCCCGACGGTTGTTCTTTAAGTGAGGAATGTCAGTTTGTGTTTCATCCATCGGGATTCACGCGCAAATTGCAGGAAGATGAAGAAGCAATTCAACCGAATGCGACAACTGGCTAACCAGACAGTGGGCAGGTAAAACACCTTAAAACACGTTAAAACACCTTAAAAACCTTCATCTGCTGACTGCTGGTGATGGACGATTAGCAGTCGAGCAGTCGACGGGTCATTGATATACAAACTGCTTAACCTGATATATTTACATATGCAAATAATAAAATGTGACGCTTAGGATGTCAGTTATAGAACAGCTGTTAGTTTGAGGTGTTCAGGTTTGCTTGAGTAAATCTGATGTTGTTGTTTGGTTTTAGTGGTTTTATGATGAAGTGATGGAGATTCTGACCCCTTATCTATCTATCTATCTATCTATCTATCTATCTATCTATCTATCTATCTATCTATCTATCTATCTATCTATCTATCTATCTGTCCTTCTATCTATCTGTCCTTCTATCTATCTGTCTGTCTGTCTGTCTGTCTGTCCTTCTATCTATCTATCTATCTATCTATCTATCTATCTATCTATCTATCTATCTATCTATCTATCTATCTATCTATCTATCTATCTGTCTGTCTGTCTGTCCTTCTATCTATCTATCTATCTATCTATCTATCTATCTATCTATCTATCTATCTATCTATCTATCTGTCTATCTGTCTATCTGTCCTTCTTTCTATCTATCTATCTATCTATCTATCTATCTATCTATCTATCTATCTATCTATCTATCTATCTATCTATCTATCCTTCTATCTGTCTATCTATCTATCTATCTATCTATCTATCTATCTATCTATCTATCTATCTATCTATCTGTCCTTCTATCTCTGTCCTTCTATCTATCTATCTATCTATCTATCTATCTATCTATCTATCTATCTATCTATCTATCTATCTATCTATCTATCTATCTATCTATCTATCTATCTATCTATCTATCTATCTATCTCCCTAATTATCTATCTATCTATCTATCTATCTATCTATCTATCTATCTATCTATCTATCTATCTATCTATCTATCTATCTATCTATCTGTCCTTCTATCTATCTATCTATCTACACTGAAAAAAATGGACATATCAGGTCTTTGAAATTACACAAATAAAGCATATATATACAACACGATTCATTTATGTTTCTTTGGTGAATATGATTTAATCAAGTAGATTTCATTTATTTCTTTTAAGTGCTGTATTTAGACATTTTTCTCACGTTGATGGAAATTGATTGAATTAAAAACTGAAATCAATATAATTGTGTTTGGGCACAACCGGGGTACTCCGGATCAGAAGGTGGCGGTAATGCATCAATTAGAAGGATGCGCCAAATGCAGTAAAAGGAGAATCAACCGTCAATTTGCGCCAAAACTGTGCAAGACTCTGCAGCCTCAGACGACGGACACCGACCGAATTTCTAAAAAGTAAGTTAATCATATTGCTTTATGTTTGTTTTGTAGTAATTTAGGTGATATTTCCACTAGATTACAGTTTTCAGTACAATTATCAACACTTTAACACCCTCTGTTAGATTTAGCATCAAGAGTCAACGTAGGCCTAACGTCACTCTCAGTCGGTGGAAACCTCAGCACCTAAGCACAACTGGTATTTTTGAAACTGAGGTATTTCTCATCAAATTAAATATTGTGAATCTTGTTTTCCTCATGTTGATTAAAGCTTTGCATTGAAAATGAGCTTCGAGCAGGAAACTCAACTTCCATGAACTAAAAACGTTCGCTCTGCTCCTCGCTTCGATCACGCATAACTTAGGCTATTGAAAATGAGGTCGACACTCGCAAATGGCAAAAAAGGGCCTTTTGCGAGTGTCGACCTCATTTTCAATAAAAGTGCGTGATCGAAGCAAAGAGCAGAGCGAACGTTTTTAGTTAATTCCTATGGAAGTTGAGTTTCCCGCTCGAAGCTCAACTTCGATGTATAGATTTTGAATTAACTGTTATCTCTGTGTGGTTGCGTTCATGTTACGTTGCTATGCTGCGCGACCTCGAAAGCTTATCGTTTGCATGTGTTTTAAGCACTGAGGTTTAAAAACAGGTGATTTTTAAACAGTTGAAGCGCAGTATTCAGCAAAAGGCAAATAATTTTGCTAAATACGTGTGATCAGCGCAGCGCGTCTGAGACAAATGAGACATGAAGTCACTGCTCATAAAGTGCGTGAGAGAAATCTGCAGCTATTCCACCTCGCAATTCCTTAAAGGGTCATAAAACCCCAAAACACATTTTGAGATGTGACCGATATGTACAGGCTGCACATCTCTTAAAACACTAAACGCACTGGTGTTTGAAATTGGTTATTTTTGCGTTTTTTTCCAAGCAATTTCGTTCTTCCGGATTGAAAAGCAAAAAAAAAAAAAAAAAAAATGTAACTTAACAAAATCAAAATGAATTCAAACAAAAGAACAGATTAATTAACCTACATTTAACCCCCATTAAAATAGTCACTTTACAGTTATTGCTATCTTACATATTTAAAATCTTACATAAGGCACATTCAAAAAACATTTTATCAATATGTATATTCTATTCAGAATTATTGCACTCCTATTCTATTGCACTGTCTGTTTGTGGTCTTTCAATTATGTGAAGCTATGTGCTGAGTTCCTCACTAATTCTAAATAATTTATATCATAGGTCATCTTTGCACACACACTCAAAAGCTTTTAATGGGTAAGTCTGTTAATTTCCTTTCGTATTGCTGCTAAAGTCCTAAATCTGTGACTTAAATACATAATTCAAAATGTATGCTTGCATTATAAATGTTGCAATTCCAATAGGATATTTAACAACATTAAAAACATATTTAGTTGTTTAGTGTTAGTCTAGATAGTATATGTGTTTTTTATATTTTAATTGTGTAGTTACTAGTTTAATAGTGGACCATTTTGTTTATATCTAAATTTCAATTTGGAGCTTTAATTGTACCTAATGACTTTTTTTTATGTTACAGGGTTAGGTCCTGGGAATGTGGAGTTGTAAGGGTTGTACAGAAACTGTGTCAAGTAGGTCCAAGCTTTTGCATCACTATAAGTTAAAGCATCCACATTTTGGACGTAGTTCTCGCTTTCCATGTACATACCTGGACTGTCCGTGCACATTTAAGACTTGGAATGCCCTTATTGAGGAAAGAGTTAAATAATCAAGTGTCTAGGTCAATTATTATATAAATAGTCAGTAATCAATTGGCATTCAAACCTAAATTCGAGGTTTGTGATGAAATGGAGTCAGATAAAAGTTTTCTGCAAAATTCTCCAAACGCTTAGGGTTAGCCAAACCAAACTTGACTTAAATGTAACATTTGAAGTCACCAATGATATCTGAAAACAACTGTCATAAATTTTCTTTCAGTGTGATGATGTAGATGCTGGACGAGAGTGTGTCATTAAGGGAGTCTGTATCTACATGGGTAAAGATCCAGAAAGCCTTGTGCAGGAATATGTGGTAAGTACATGAATCTCTTTTTTGTTGTTTTTCCTTCCACTCTTCTCCTGTTCTCTTACCTGTTCACTTGAGATGAAATTATTCATTAATTAGCAGAACATGTATAAATGTATGGTTTTGCTAATATATATTAAGCATTTGTTTTTGTACATCCCTCTCGAAATTAAAATACAATGTTTCCCGTTGTTACTTTATTTTTATTAATTTAGAATCGAATCGAGAATCGAATTGAGAGCTTACAAGTCGAAATCAAATCAAATTGGAACATCTGAATCGATACCCAGCCCTAGTATGGCTGCTTAGTTTAATCTTTATTCTTTTCTCATTAGGTCTTATTTTCCTACATTTACCTATGTTTGTTTTGTACAGGGCATGGATGAAGTCAGCATCAATAAGGCCATTGAAGAGACCACTCTTGGGATTTATGTTCTCAAACAACATGCTTCTGATGAACCAGAGGATGTTGGCATTGTCCTTGAAGGCATGAAGGTGTTGCAATATCTGGACAATGCATCATTAGCTGTTGCTATGCTGTTTGGGTTGATGTATGCCTTGAACCTCAGCTACCCTACTGACCTCCGCTACACTTTTGAGGTAGTCCAAAAGATTTTTATGGAACTGGATGGAGATAAACTATCAAATAAAGCACTCGCTTTAAAGAACGGGCTCTTTCAGTGAAAGTGTCAGAGAGGCTGCACTGCCACTGAAAAACCACAAGTCCTCTGTGTAAGTAGTAAATGGTTGTCTGTGTAAAAAAAACCACAAGTCCTCTGTTTAAGTAGAGTCCTCTGTCCACAAGTCCTCTGTCCACAAGTCCTCTGTTTAAAGGAACACTCCGACTTTTTGAAACTTTAGCCTATTCACCTTATCCCCCAGAGTTAGATAAGTCCATACATACCTTTTTCATCTCCGTGCGTGCTATAAGTCTGTTTGACGCACCCACCGCTAGCCTAGCTTAGCACAAAGACTGGATGTAAATGGTTGCAGCTAGCATACTAATCCAAATAAGTGACAAAATAACGCAAACATTTTCCTATTTACATGTTGTGATTTGTATAGTCACAGAGTGTACAAAAAACAAAGTCACATGAGACACAGACATTATTTTAACCGTATAAATACTGGGAACTATATTCTCTGAAGGCGAAGCACTGCTACTTGGGCGGAGTGATAACCGCAGCACCTGAGACGCGCTCTCTGCTCCTCACCACGGGGCGTCTCAGGTGCTGCGGTTATCACTCCGCCCAAGTAGCAGTGCTTCGCCTTCAGAGAATATAGTTCCCAGTATTTATACGGTTAAAATATGTCTGTGTCTCATGTGACTTTGTTTTTTGTACACTCTGTGACTATACAAATCACAACATGTAAATAGGAAAATGTTTGCGTTATTTTGTCACTTATTTGGATTAGTATGCTAGCTGCAACCATTTACATCCAGTCTTTGTGCTAAGCTAGGCTAGCGGTGGGTGCGTCAAACAGACTTATAGCACGCACGGAGATGAAAAAGGTATGTATGGACTTATCTAACTCTGGGGGATAAGGTGAATAGGCTAAAGTCCCAAAAAGTCAGAGTGTTCCTTTAAGTAGAGTCCTCTGTCCACAAGTCCTCTGTTTAAGTA